GTGTATTGCAGTGTAGGTCGAGTGTGAACAGATTTCAAAAGATGTAGGATTTATGGATGACATTCTAATCTCTAAAATGTATTTTTTCTTAATAGTAAGCTCTTCCTGTATTCTCAGTTTTATTGTCCCTATAGTATACTTTTAAAATAGGAGGATACTTCTTGATTGCTATCATTGCTAACTATTATCTTATTGTGCTATTGGTGATATTGTGTACTGGTTTTGTTGGCGTTAGATGGTACTACATCAAGACAGCCAGGGATATTAAGCGATTGGAAGCTATTGGTTAGGACTGTTTTATAAATAAGAGTTTATTTATGATGCAGCACGTAGTCCAATATACTCTCATTTATCAATGACACTGCAAGGACTATCAACCATTCGTTCTTATTCAATGCAATCAGTGATGATAGAGAGAATGCACCAGTATCAGAATCAACACACTCAAGCCTGGTATCTTTTCATAGTCACTTCCAGGTAAACTGTGGCCTTATTTTGCTATATACACAATACACATGGTTTCCCACAAAGTATGCTAAGTGAGTGCAAGCTTTTTGAGTTGACAAGTGTTACAAGGCATTTGAGACAACTTTAGGAATTCATTACAAAATCTAAAATTTTGATCAGAATCAGCTCAAATTTGATGCACAGCAAAAGGACTTATAATGTATTAGAAAATTTATTAAAATAGAAAATTCTCTATTAGCCATTTTTGACAAAATTTGGCTGCAACCACAACCCACAAGTTGGCCAATTTTTTGAACCACTTTAAAAATTCATTAAAATATCCAAATTTGATCAAAATCAGCTCAAAATTGATACACGGCATAAGAATATGTATATGTAAATTAGAAACATTATAAAAATAGGAAGTTCTATTCTAGCCATGTTTGAAATTTGACTAAACCGCTATGCTATAATAGCCGTTGGTCGTTGGCCCAATTTTTGAGCAACTTAAAAATTTATCAAAAATCTATAATTTGGTCAAAACCAGCTCAAAGTTGAAGAGCAACATAAGTGTCAGAAAAATTATGAAAATGGAAAGTTTTCTTCTAGCCATTTTTGACAAAATTTGGCTGAATCATTGGCCCAATTTTTGAGCAACTTTAAAAACTTATAAAAAATCTAAATTTGATCAGAATCAGCTGAAAATTGATACCGGTACACAGCATAAGGACATGTTATGCATCAGAAAAACTATAAATATTGATAATTCTTTTCTAGTCATTTTTTCAAAAGCCTTTGGTTGCTATTTCACTTTTAGTTGTGGCCATATAAAAATGGTAATTTCTATAAGAAATTACCAAACATACCTTGGCTACATGTATTACTACTATCTGTCGCTACAAAATACTATTTTACTACATTAATACATGTACATTGTTCTTTGTAGGTGGTTTTCAATGCGTCTTGACTGCTTTATTTTCATTTTTATAGCTACAATTCTTTTTTCATCCATCTCTCTTGCAGAAAGTAATGTTTTTAAGTAATGATTATGATGTTCCCATTCTATTGTAGGTTTTAATTCTGCTCTAATTTCATTGTCATTAACCTATGCAATTACACTCATGGATTTATTTGCTTATTATATGAGAGCTAGCACCGAAGTAGAGAATTTGGTAACAAGTTATATTAATGTTTTTACAAATAACTTCTATTTTTAAGATGGTATCACCAGAAAGAGTTATTGCTTATGGTGGATTAGAAGTTGAGGCATCACTGGAAACTCTTCCTCCCTTTTCTAAGCCACCACCTAACTGGCCTGATAAAGGAAATATTGTATTGAATGACTTGTGTTATAGTCATTCAGTAGACGGTCCACAAGTACTGACTAATATATCATGTGCTGTATCTAACAGGAGTAAAGTAATAAATAACTATAATTTATGTACATGTTAAATTTCATACATTAGGTTGGTATTGTGGGTAGAACTGGTGCTGGGAAGACATCACTGGTATCAGCATTGTTTAGATTAGCTGAACCAACTGGTGGCAATATTGTTATTGATGGTATTGATGTTAATACACTAGGACTACATGATCTTAGAAAAAACATATCAATTATACCTCAAGTACATATGCACATGGTTTATATAATTATTAGTATTACATTATACTGTAGGATCCAGTGTTGTTTGGTGGATCAATTAGATATAATCTTGATCCTTTTCAAGTGTACAATGACAATGACATATGGAGAGCATTAGAACAAGTAAAAATAGAGTATTAAAAGAGATATAATTGAATAGTCACTGCCTGGTAGGTTCAGTTAAAGTCAGTAGTTGAAGAATTGGATGATGGTTTATTGTCAGTCGTAACTGAAGGAGGCAGCAACTTTAGCGTTGGTCAAAGGCAGCTCTTTTGTCTGGCAAGAGCTCTATTAAGAAACAATACAATCTTAGTATTGGATGAAGCTACAGCCAATGTAGACATGAAGTAATGTTAAATGAGTTTCTCTTCTGTTGTTTTTGATGTGTTAATGTAGAACTGATAGGATCATTCAAGAAGTGATTTGTAAACAGTTTAATGAATGTACTGTACTGACTATTGCACATCGTCTGAATACTGTAATGGATTGTGATAAGATTATGGTATCTACTGATATTTACTTATTTAAAATTAGTATACTATATTTCTTGATAGGTACTTGATAAAGGAGAGCTAGTGGAGTATGATGAACCTTATTTGTTATTATGCGAGTCATCATCTTATCTTGGACAATTAGTTGATCAAACTGGACCAGTCAATGCTAAGAAACTAAGAGACATTGCTTTAGTGTGTCATCAAAAAAATAAGTGATTTTATATATGATTGGCTGTTGATTGTGGTTATTATGATTCAGCTTTTATGGGGTCATAGACCATGCTAGGATCTGATAAACAGCTTTTTGCTTTTACATTTTGAACATAGCCAGGTCACATTACGTTTTTCCCACTATTCTGTAAATTTTGAAAGTGTGAACAAGATGTTTGTATTATTGTGAAGTTTATAATAGATTTACATAATGCTATTAAGTTTGCCATGCTTACAAATTACTTATAAAATTTTTTGAAAAAGCAAAAACTACATGTATTATATCAAAACTAAAAAACTAAAACTATTCAAGTCAAACTCAGTTATTCCTCAAAAACCTTGTTAATAAGGCATGTTGTGTTGGTATAATATGGAGGTGCTTGTACTAACAGCAAACACTCCATTGAGAGTAGCATCAATTTGCTTTATGTCTTCATCACCAAAGCCATCTTCTCCCATTCACCAAGACAAGGTTTTTTTGCAGCAGTAAATCTATATGCTTCATTGGTTGGATTAATGCCAAATATCTTATGAGGTCCTACAGTGATGTGCTTCATTCTGCCTCATATAACATGTCAAAAGCCACAGCCATCAACTGGACGGGAGAGTATGTGTTTAGTCTTATACAAAATTACAAATGCAAGAAGCCATGCAGTGGCTCTTAGAGTCAAGTTGGCAACACCAGTCTATTGAAGCAGCTTGATGCTGGAGAGCAATATCTCTATGCTGTCAATATTATTGACATGCAGCATGGAGATATTGTTCTCCAGCATCAAGCTGCTTTAATTGGCTCTTGACTCCAAGAGCCACTGCATGACTTCTTGCATTTTTATGCACAGTAATCGGAACGAATTGTCCAGACGTACCCATTACCAGATGCTGAGACGTGATAGAATGTTCTTAAAACTTTTGTCCAGCTACTTGAAGCATCAATAATTTGGCACTTGAACAAATGATTATTACTATTCACACCCCAGAGTTCATAATCATTAGCATCAACTTTTCCCAAAAAGCCATCAATATGAACCCAGTTGCCATTGCAAGGTTAGATGAGAGCAACAATAAATGTGATGCTGTGTATTGGTTCCCCTCACGTAATTGACAGGCCCAGTGATGCTAGCTGATATTGTCCATATGACAGAAGAGATCAGAAAAGACAGTAGTATAATGATCTTCATTTTCTAAATATAACTTTAAAATAAATTAAAGTAAATAAAAGCATTAAAAATGGAAACGTGGTAGGATTGAATTGAGAAAAAAGTAAAAAAAAACGAGGCTTCTTGCAAAGTGAGATTTAGTGTGGTAAAAAATCCTACACTACTGCATGAAGAATATAATCCAAAGCATTATCATATCTCACACAGACTGCTACATGAATAACACTATGAAGCCTTTATCTTCAACTTCATGCAGTGGTTCATAAGCTTCATAACTTTAAAGGCAGCCATGAATATATCCCAACCTACAGTATTTACTCATAGCTCATTAGATATGGTGATATTTGCTATTGCATTTTTAGCTTTATTATAATGATTTTGTTGAAGGTAATGTTAAATTTATTCAAATATCTAGCTCTAATTATGATAACTATAGGTATTCCTCAGTTCACTACGTGTCCCAGTTCAGTGTATCTCTCTCAACCAGTTACTTATGAGTGTAACAGTGAGTGCTAGATACTGATGAAATCACTGTTGGTACTGTTCTCCATGTTGTGTATCAGTGTTACTGTATAAATGAAAGAGAAAGCAGATAAACACAAGCAAAGTACACTTATTGCACATTTATGTTTATATACATTATTGTATGGTATATGGGCAGCTGACACTAAGCAAAACATGCATAAAGCACACCATAACATGCAAATGCACATTGTGGGCATGCATACATACACTACACATCATGCTCATATTATTACAACACACATAAAAGGCAAAACAGAATTAATTAGTAACAGTTTCTATGGTTACCTCCCCTCATTCAGCGTCTATCATGACGGCTCACATGAGAATACGTGACTTGATTGATGACCTTGGGTTTCTGGTTACGTCTACCAGACGATGAAGAACTATGATCAAGAACAGCATACTGGGCACCCTCTTGTGGTGGTGCATTACGAGATGTTTCCAAGGATTTTGATGGTTTGGGAGGAGCTTGTCTCTTAGAGGAAGATGATTTAGCAGAATGGTCTATTTGAGTATATTTATAAGCCTTGAGAAGAGAGGGAGGGAGGGAAAAAGAGGGAGAGAGAGAAAAGGAGGGGAAAAGATCAATGAATAATATAAAGCAAGCATTCACACAAACACAACCACTAACTGCCAAACCAGCATCACAGTCATTACAGTAGTAACATATTGTTTAAAAAAATGACAAGCAACATCATCACAATCACGTTATTTCACCATCACATGTAAGCATACACAGGCCACAATATTATATTATTGCATGTAATTACAGATAATGATACCTGATCAAGTATTTCAAACCACAAACTTTCCCACAAGTTAAAGACAATGGGCATAATATGTACACTGCATAATGAACATAAAATTATGACACACATTATACACCATGAATATAACTAATACATACAGTACGTACATCATAAGGATAATGCATGCTTAGTTTGCTTACACATCATGCTCATGTTCATGTACATGCACATGTAACCACATTAATTAGGTGACCAATAAATACACATAAAGGACACATGTTGATGTACATGTACATGTACATTTTCTATTTGTGGCAAATTGACAATAATATTAAGGTACAGGCCCTTTAAAAATAATAAATACAGCGTGTACTTGAATCTGAGTACCAACAGAAGAATCTGACTTTTTATTGTTTTTCTTTTAAGACAACATAGAACAACAATCACTGATATAACCAAAACTCCAATCAGTACAACAATGATGATAACTACTATACCAGCAATTATAGCACCAGCACTAACTATAAACAATCACTAATTAATATTGAGCACAGTTACATGTACATACATGGTGATGTTGTTTCAGTAAGACTGCTTGATGGAGTCATACTGGGAGTTGCACTAATGCCTGGAGTAAAAGAAGTGAAATCAACTGTACTAGTTGAATATATTTCAGGTGGTAGTTGTGCAGCAAGTATATAGCTGAAGTACATATTATTATATTTATATTTACAGTAAAATAAGAACTAACTTATTGTAGCTGATGTGATAGGACCAGTTCCTAATATATTAGTAGCAGCCATTTCAACAGTATATTCTAATCCCACTCTAAAACCAGATAAAGTCCTTGATAGAGTGATTGGAGCTTCACCACAATATTCTACCATAACAATTTGAGGTAGATCTACATCAGAAACATTATAATAAATTTAATATCCATTTGCAAGAAAACGAGGTGATAAAAGTGGCTATGGCAGTAATAAAAATAATAATTAGTCATTATAATAAGATCAATTACTAGTTTCTATGATACAATGATGTTAACAGTATCATTAGTATCAGTTGGATAATCAGTTTGTGCTAACGTCAGATCAGTAACAAATCTAGGAACTAAAAATAATAAAATGTATCATTAATTATCTGCTAAAAACTATTAAATATTAATGTAACATTAAATTCAGAATGACCATATCTACCAGCAATATCAACAGCTATTACAGTAAAAGTATATAGTGTGTCATTAAGTGAAGGCATTAGTATAAACTCAGACCCCCATCAGTAGATGTAAAATTAACACTATCAGTTGCACTAGTCCTCATAACAATGTAGTGAGAGACACAAGGATTGGGACTTTGTAGACCTAAGCCCACTCCAACATAATCAGTGGGAGTTGGTCCATAAGCAAAACTACCAATATAAGGCGTTGGAGTACCTAAATACAGTAATTTATATAATGATAGTATGACATACATGTACACGACTACACGTACCTGCTATTACTATAGAACAGTTCATTGAAGCCCCAATACCATTTGCACACTGGACAGTATAATTACTGATACTTAAAGTAGGAGTGAATGTTATATCAGAAACAAGAGACAACTTAGACAAGCCATCAACAGTCAAGACAGTATTGAACTGACCACCTGCAATAGGAACAGTATCACCAACACCATAAACTCAGTATAAGATACTCCACCAACAATAACGTCATTAGTATTTAGTACTAAGAGTGCTTGCTCCACTGTTACACCTATGGTTACACTCATAAGTAACTGGTTGAGAGAGACATACTGAATTGGGACATGTAGTGAATTGAGTAATACCTACAAATTTATAAAGTTATGATTTTCATAAGCAAGGACTTGCCAGACTCTAGCAAATTTAAATAAGAGAGAAACAAATAAGAGATGAACTTTGTCTTCATTGTAGGTTTCTAGCTATTAGGGCTTGATGTGCATCCTAGCAACGCATGCAAGTTGCCTCCACGGCCACAAGCAAAGTGAGCAAAATCATAAATGAATCTATGGCAAAATGGAGTAAAAGTCTTTTGATTGCTGTACATTGGGTTAAAATTGTGCCTCCAGTATAAGTAATCCAACTTATGTACCGTTGAGAAATTAATGTATATAGATCTACAAGTTTATTCAGTTATTCTTATATTAGCATGGTGTGATTGCAGCAAGGATTGTAGTGTGTGACTTAAAATTCATATATATTATTTTAGATCTAAATGTTCAAATTTCACATTGTTTTTTAGTTCTGACCTTTTGACAATTTAAAATGTTTTTTCTCAGTTGTTCTGTATAGATAAAAGAGAAAGCAGATAGACACAAGCTTATCATTGTACATTCATGTGTGTATGACTTTATTGGATAACACAAATGTGTACACATTTTAATATTATCAATGACACAGATATATTGTATAGTGTAGGGGCAGCTGACACTAAGCATAACAATGATAACATACATAATGCACACCATAACATGCAAATGCACATCATAGGCATGCATAGACATAATGCTACACATCATGCTCATTTAGGCCAAAGACTAGTTCAAAGTAGTTCAGTAATTGAGGCCCAGAAATGTCTTTTCAAAAGAAGCAAAACAGAGAACAATACAAGACACCAAAGGTGCATGGCCTCGTCCTTAAAGCTGCTTGGGCAGTGTTAGCTGACATAGCTACCCAAGCTAAACTGCGAGTAAATTAAGAGAAAAGAATGATGGGACTCTGGGAGTCCCTACAAAAATTTATTTATTTATTTCCTATTTTGAATACAAATTTACAACAGCATATTCAGTTGTACACTCTCTATCCCAAGAGGTGTGTTACGGATTTAAACTATCTGTAAAGTACATGTAATGATTGTGTGTTTGTTAAATCCTTTCCCTCTGTACTATGTGCATAGTATATGTTTAAAAACTTGATCTATGCAAATAGACTTAGTTCATTTTTGGCATTTTTTGGCTTTAAAAACCTGTGTATGGAAAGTAAGATTAGTTCAACAAAGCCTACATAGACTATAATAGTAGAAGTTCACTGTAGGTAAGAGATGCATTGAGAAGAGATTAGACTTGTCTGAAAAGGAGGTCAGTAGGAAATAAATTGGTTCAAAAGAGCTTACATTAGAGAATGTTGCTAATCAATACATGATCTTGGTCAATGGCCAGATCCAATGATAAAAATAATCAATGTGGTTTATAACATGAATAGTAGGCCAAGCAAAAACTATAGACTCTATACATCAAATTCATTAAAACCAAGTTAAGCAAATTAATTTCTTGTGTTAAAAAGTCATAAAAATGCCATGACAAGTGTAGATAAATCTAATAAAAAATTAAGATAAAAAAAATTAAAAAGGTTTATAAAAATGTATTGTAAATGGAGTTACCAAGTTTACTGCAAGTATGATGTCAGGCCTTCATCACCACCTTCTTTAAGCACTTCTCTCCAATCCTCTTTAATTGAATCTGAAGCTGATTTTGATGGACCAGGACCATCTTCACATGAAAATCCAGCCAAAAACTCTTTGCAGGTCTTCAATAGTTCAATCTTTGTTTCTTTCATATCCAAACAGCTTTTAAATTCATCAATCATAGCATCAAATTTTTGAATCCCATCAGTCCTCCTGTGAACAGCTTCAGATATTATTTTGTACCCAAGTAATATATCAGCTATATTGTTGAGAGAATGCTGACTAGCATTCCTTAGGGCTAATAATTTTCTATCCAAAGAATTTTTAATTTTTTTCCTGACAGTCTTTAAATCATACCCTATACACGTTGATAGCATTATACCAATAGAATTATTATCTTGATCTATACCTCCAATTTTAGTTTTTTTCTCAGGAGGTTCAGACCAACCAGCTTCACTATCAAATGTACCATCAGCCATTTCTTGATCAGACAGCAAACTACCTGTATGCAATATATTGTAGTAGCAATTTCTTGATTATAGTCTAGCTATTAATACTTACCTTTTCTTTTCCTTTTTTGATATTTATGTTGATATGGATCATTGGGTGCTAGAATGAGAAAATAAACTAATAACTAATGGGTATTGCTATTTAGCTTATTTAGCTGTATTGATATTATGCAGTACTCTAAAATTTTGTTACCTTTATCTACACAAATAGTTAGTACAAGAGAGTCAGTTGCACCCACTACTGGTATGGAATAAAAAAGTACAGGTACAGCATCACCTGAATGAGCAACATAAACTAAATTAGTAATAGTAGATGGAAGAAGTGAGTTGCTTAATTCTTTTTTGCCAAAATTATCAATATATTGTTGGAAAAACTGAGAAAATAACAGTAATCATAAAATATCAATGAAATTAACAAACTTTGCAAGGTTTAATGCAAGGTTGAACACGCCATCCTTTAAAAAATTCAGGATCTTGTTTTGAGTCGTCAAACACCAGTTCAATAGAGGCACAACCACTTTTAAAATAAAAGGTGGTGCTATTTAAATCCACAACATTGTAAAGCCTTTTTATATGCTATGATTGTTGTTAAATAAAAGTATACACAAATTTGTCACCATACATACCTCAAGAAGAGCATTTAATTGTTTAGTAGCAGCGATTCTCACTTTTTTCCTACTTTCTTCATCAAAAATTACAATGGCATACTTCTTAGCTTTTTTAAGAGCTGCAGGTTGCTTTGGATCATCGTCACAATGATGCTCTTTTTAAAAAATAAAAATAATAGGATAATAAAATTGATTACTTTCAACAGGTGACCCATTGCTTGATTTATCAGATATTGGATCTATAATGTTAATCAATAACAAATAAAAACATCAATGCTTCACCTGCATGAGATGATGAACCAGCTGTAACAGAGCTCTCTGAGGCTCCACTACTTCCTTCTCTATCACCATCACCACCCTCTCCTTCTTCACCACTACCTTCTACGTCCCCATTACTGGCACCCTCTCCTTCCCCATTACCAGCACCCTCTCCTTCTTCCCCATTACCAGCACCCTCTCCTCCTTCCCCATTACTGGCATCTTCTCCTCCATCATCCTCCATAGAGTAGTCATCATTATCATCAATATCTGCAATGGCCTCTTCTTCACTGTAACCAACTATGCAAACTAAAAAACGAAGCTTCTCGTGGTCAATCACTCCATATGTTGAAATGCCAGAAAAATTGCCTCCCTCCATTAAAGAAAACTGGTATGGAACATTGGGGGCAGGAACAGTAATAGGGACTGTAGCAAACTTGAGATAATTGGTGAGGGTTGGGTGGTTTTTAAGATCAATGCAATGTTGCAGTGATAGGCTCAAGGGCTTGAGAAGAGGCTCGGATACAGATATAGCATACACAGCACTAACAAGGACAAAGTTTTTTGGAAACACAAAAGACCCTCCTATAAAAACTTTCACTGCTACTTCAGCTGTCATTGATGGTAAGAGGCTTCCTTTGTGAATTTCAATTGATAATCCATACTTCTGCCAATTGATTGAGCAATGCTCGTCATTTTCAACTGAGAAATATTCTTTCTGTATTATCTGAACACCATTCAAATTATCTACATAAAATGACATTACATAGAATAGGATATAGTATGGAAAAGAGACCTTTACCAATATTTTTAGATGCTTTGTCAAAATCAAAATCAGTTTTATCATGTATCTGGTCTCCTGATCTTCTTTTTAGCCTTGCTATATGCATATTTTGATCATCTATTATTCTCTTCAATTCTTCAATTTTTGTCTGAAACTTTTCTATTATAAAATTAAAAATACTACAAATAACTAGAGCAATACCATTAGCAGTCTGCAAAGAGTTTTGTCTCTCACGGTACTCATGAAGCTGCCTGAATTTAACCTGCAGCTCTGTAGCACCTTCTGATGTTTTGTACCCCTCATGCTTCAAATGTTGACACTACAACAAAATAATAATAAATTATCAAACACTCATATTGGGCGAAACATGAGATTCCCTTCTAAAATAATCAGGGTTAATTTAATAAAAGAGTTAATAGAAACTTAATACTTGCTGTAATTCACTGCTGTTCATTATAAAGGCACACAACTGAAAAATAGCTCTGGTAAAATCAGAAAATAGAAATTGCCAAAAACATGCAATGTCACTCTTAATTTTTGCCATGCACCCTAGCTCCTACAAAAAAATCCTGTATAAATCCCTAAATCCTTTTGCTCTTTTTCTGTCTCTTCTCCTAGCTCTTTCTCTCTTCCACCCTATTTCTCTCCCTTTCTCCCTATTTCACTAACATACCTTCTGTGCAGCATCACTCCAACATTTTTTGTAAGAAATAGAGCTGCAGTGATTACACAGCATTGATTCTTTACTATCCCCCTCACCATAATAGTGCTGATGACTCCCAGAGACCATAAAACATGGAATTGCAAATGCGTATTGGAAATTGAGTATTGCATCATTGTATCTCTTCAAAAAGGAGACACAAGCCTTGAGAAACTTCTCGCATACTTCAACTGCACTGGAAAATGTATCTTCGTTGATATCATTTACTTTTAATTTGACCTTATCTCCTTCGCATACGATCTCCATTTCATACTCATTTTTTGATCTAAACTGAAACCGAGAAACATTATGCTCTGTTGTTCCAAACATGAACACTTCCTTATTCTTCATTAACTCTTCGGTGATGCCAGCAAGTACATCAGGAGGAGAAGCTATGTCATCAATTTCGAAAAAAACATAACCATCTTCACGAAGAGGAATGCTTTTAGCATTGCCGATTCTTGCTACTGGTAAAAAATAATATTGCTGATCAGGATCTAAGGTCTCTTGCTCAACGATAATTGAAGAGCCACTTTCAATAGTAACTGCCATTCCAAATTCTGTAAGGATTTGCATGAAACGGCTTACATTTTTTTCAGAAAGTAAGACACCTCTCACAGACTGTTCTGATACAATACCAAAGGCATATAAATCTTTTGCATGAGGCTCTGAAGGATTAGGATAATACAATTCATTTAGATATTCTGTGAACTTCCAGACATCAATGATGACAAATTCCCTTAGCGATTCAAATTGTGGCACATCTATGTACAAGATGCTACCAAAATCGGTAAATATTTCAAGAAAATCTTCAATATCTATATTCAACCATTTTGCTTCTTTGGTAATGAAACTTTTATCAAAAATGATTGTAGATTTTTGCTGAATTAGAGATGCCAAATAGCTTCGAAAAAGCATCGAACGAAATGGAATATCGATTGTTCTCTCCTTGTATTGATATTTGATAAACTCTTGCATATTTTCTCCAAAGCCCAATACAGAATTTTCGTCTTCCAAATTTACATGTATTATTTCGGGAATCAGACCAAATTTCACCATTTGTGACTTTATAGTCACCTCTGCTTGAGCTGATGAGGCATTTTCTTTTGTTGTAGCAATAAAGGGGACAGATCGCTTTTGTGACCTTTTATGCCCTAGAGTAGCAAAATGTAGGAGTTGTTTTAGTCTCAACCTCTGGCTCATAGCAGTGTCCTTATCTTGTCTTTCGACATATTTCGGATCCAATAGATCTGGATTTCTTTCAAAATCTGAGACATCATTATCAAGGGAAAAGAAAACAAGACGAATATTTCTACGACAGATTGATAACATGATGGGCAGAAGGCCATGGAGAGCTTTATTGACACCGAAATCCATTACATTAAGGAGAGCAAGACCATCCTGTATTAAAGTAAGCTTAAGAGATTCATTGTTACCTTCAATGGATTCCAATTGAGAATATGCTTTGCCTAGCAACCAATGAATATGCTTATCAATTTGTGGATGATCTGTTATCGGCGATGCCAAAATCGAATTCAAGTCGAGATCTTTTCTTCTGTGGGCAAGAATGTGAATTATGGAATAGATTGCCCCATAATGTCTGGTGGCAAAAGACCATGCAAATTCATCGTGAGGAGGTCCTCCAAGAGCACAAAGCTCGTATATCGTTAGACATTGCTCATTCTTTTTTCTCCTCAAGTAGTAATCGAGATTCAGCTTTGCATTCAGTTTCAAATTGATGAATTTTTTAAATGCTCCCTCTAGGACAGACGTCTTTCCTGAGTTAGGTAAACCAATGCCAGCTATAAGACTTGATGTCACTTCAACTGTGTAATTGAAAACCAAGTCTCTTAAACTAGGTTGCACTATAACTATAAAAAAGAATTGTATATTAATGATTCTAAAGTAATTAGCATGCACTATACAACATACTATGCAAGGGGTAATACGATAATAGTAAAAACAAAAATTCGTTGTAAAGCATAATTAGTAATATTATTATTTTATCACTAATACTGGAATAGCAAATACCTAAAAGAAACCCTACGCTATAGTACAGAGTGTAGTTTGTCATAAATGATTAGGAGACATATCAAAAAGTAAAAGTTGGCCAAAGACCATGCACTTATAATCAGAATCAGCTCAAACTATGAACTAATTTGAGGAGATCAATATAATCAGAAAATGCATTATAAATTTTAAAGTCAATTTTTGGAAAAATACTGTAGAGCACTTTACTTTTGGGTGCGGAGCTAAAATTTTGCGGGTTGATAAAAATCAAATTTTTACAGAAATTAATTTTGCAGATTCACAGTATCTATGGTGCCATGCCTTTTATGGCAATCAATCAAATATTTAGCGGATCTTTATTTTCCGATGCATGCTAGCCCGCAAAAACAGTGAAAGTTTTGCTACTCAAAAATATAGCGCTATATGCTTTTTTTTGAAATCTGCTATTTTATTCAAAATTTGAGCTTGAAATTGCTTCACACTCTCAAAATTAATTTTTTACATGGCATATATAAGGACATCAATGTATTAGAAAATGTAATAAAATTGGGGGGGGGGAATTTTAGATTCATTTAACTATCATAGGCTATACCATATAGCAGGTAATTTTCGTGGCGCTTTATTTTTGTAGTTTTGTAGTTTTGGGCCCACGAAATTTAAACCCACAAAATAATTGAACTATTATTGAAGTGCCATCCCTTACAGGCTATGTAGACTGTCAACACAGTAGTAATACAACAATTAGCACAAACCAGTGTGTTATAAATGATATATGGTGCCACACATTCAAAAATTAAAAGTATGCATAGTGTGGGCAGTCAATTTACATAAGCACACAAAGTCATAGTGTATGCAACTATTAGGCTATAAAGCACTGTTGTCGTTTTGCAGTGTGTGTATGGAATATATACACTCTGCTAAATCTTTGAAGTCTGGCTTTATCATACCATAGAGCACAAAATTTGTTAGGGCTATAAATTTTGCGAATTTCACAATTTTTGGAAGACTGGTGAAAGTTACTTCTGCAAAAATCAAACAGTACAAGATGGCAGGTGGCATAAATTCACAAAATTAAATCCACAAAAAGATTTTGAGGCAAATTCACAAAATTTACAGCCCTCAACAATTTTGTGCTATATGGTACTATAAATTATTTTACCATATAAACACCTGGTCCAAATAAACGCTTGTCACAAATAATATTTCTAATTTGCTAAAGATTGTTGGTCCTATGACTTCTATCCAGCTATAAGTTTCTTTTTTTAAATTCTTAATGCAATTTTTTTCCTGCAGTTAAGAAATAAACGCTCAGACGTCTAATCAGGAAAACATGGTGCATTGTATTTGGTAGGGCAGTTCGTCAAAAATACATGTAGTTAAGAGCTTTTGTCTTCTGGTATAATGCATTGTTATGTAGAGATCTTAAGGGGGTGGGTCTGCTTTGTGAAACATAAACTATACAGCCTATGAGATGTAGCTTAGTAGTAAATAGTTTGGAACAGTCCTACCAGCTAGTTTTCGCTTACTAGGTATTGAGGAAACATCAAGTGACACTGGAATATCCTCTATTATGCCTCCATTCACGTCAAGAGGACCACCAACAGAACTGGAATCGTACAAAGGCTCTTTTGAATCACTGTCCTCCATTCTATATAACAATGTGAAACTGCCATAAAGTGATACAACTACAAACTCACTGCTTCTGCTCACTGTAACTCATTGCTTCGAGCCAGGGATATACTAACGTAATCCCTGCTTCGAGCCAAGTTTGCTTTGGAATTCGGGTGGAGCTAGTAGATGCATTGAGGCGTGCCCAAAAATAATTAATTTTCTAAATAATGCGCAGAACAGTTTTACTGCATTTGTCTCTCATCACTTTGCTCTTCCTTTTCCAGGCACTAGGGATAGTCTTATTTTTGAAAGGATACCTCCTAACAAGAGTCGTAATTCCTCAAGACAGTCCAGTGTGTTTTAACTGTTCTCCTCGATACTTTCAAAGTGTAGTATGGATACTAGTAGATGCACTCAGGCATGACTTTGTCTTACATAATTCATCACTGGGTTTTAAAGATGACAGACCATTTTACATTAATCAAATGAGGAACATTCAACATTTTTTGGCTCATAAACCAAGACACACGAAGTTGTATCGTTTTATTGCGGACCCACCTACAACAACTATGCAGCGACTAAAGGCACTGACGACAGGCACTCTACCAACTTTTATAGACATTGGAAGTAATTTTAATAGTTACCAAATACAGGAAGACAATATTATCAGACAATCCAAGAGAAACGGTCTTAAGGTGACATTTTTGGGTGATGACACTTGGATGAGCATGTACCCTGATATGTTTTATGAATCTTATCCATTTCCTTCTCTTAATGTTAAAGATTTGGACACCGTTGATAAAGGAGTGTATGCAAATATCATACCAGTCCTTAAAAGGAATGATTCTGATTTTATTATTGGTCATTTCCTTGGAGTGGATCACTGTGGGCATACTTATGGACCCAATAATCACATCATGAGAGATAAATTGATATATATAGATGATGTCATAAGGTATATTATGTACTATGCAATAACCATTTTATTACTTTAATTCTAGATCAATATTTGAATTGGTAAACAACAATACCATTGTTTTTGTGTTTGGTGATCATGGTATGACTTCAACTGGGGATCATGGGGGACAAACACTTCTAGAAACTGAAGCAGCTCTAGTAGTTTACTCCAAAAGGCCACTTTTTGATGCCAAACAGGTACTTTAGTAATAATCAAAATCACTTCATTATTTTTATTGCCATTAAATATAAGATTAACCCTAGCTTGTGCCAAAGGTGTATGTACTCTTGCTTGTGGGACTTTGGCCCAACTCTTGAGTAACTTATACAAATTTGTAAAAATCCAATTTTTATCAGAATTAGCTCAAATTCCCTGGAACATCTAAATGCCTCAGAATGAATTTTAAAGATGAAAAATTCTTTTATATTCATTTTTACCAAAATTTAGCCTACGACCTTGTAGAGGGACTTTGACCCAATTTTTTAAGTAAATTCAAATTTTGTAAATATTGAATTTTAATTGGAATCAGCTCAGAATTTTCATACAGCACATGAACATGCATACCGTTAGTCGTACTAACGGGTTATTAAGCACCCTTCGTTGTTAAGTGCCTAGTTCTTATTAGGCGCCTAGCTCAATGTAGCTCTTAGCATGGGTTTGTTAAGCACAGTATAAAACAATAAGAGTCCAAGCAGTAGAAGTCCAGATATTTTATAAGCGTTATGGCCATGAACCACACTGTCAAAAGAGTATTCTTTGCCACCCAAGATTGTAAAGCCAATAAAGTGATTAATTAATTATTATTGTAAACCACACCTACTGTATTTATTAAGCACTGAGTCATTATTAAGCGCCTGTTTTTCTGTCATTTTCTGCATAAGCGCCTATGCTTGATAACCCGTTAGTACGTTATATATTAGAAAGACTTTTTAAAGTTGTTACGTATCTTTGTGGTGAACTGGTGATCAAATGAGAAAACATATTTACAGCAAATTTTGATGCCACTAAATTCTGTAAATGCACAAGCTAGTTATTTTTGTGGGATAAATGTGACCATAATTGACAAAAGGTACCTTATGGCGGGTAGTGAAATTTGTCTTTCTAGCCTAAGAAATCCAACTTCCTGAGCCCCATTTATCACAAAAATACTCCACAGGATGCAAAAAGTTACCATGAAACTTTTAGAAACAATGATTGTCTAACAAAGCACTCACAGGTTGATATTTTCCATTATAACGATCAATTTTAAAATCCACCATAAGGGCCCTTTTGTCAATTATGGTCACAAATTTTTAGATTGTGTGTTTTGAAATCTTTATTATGACCAATTCACATGTTCTATGGTAAATTGGTAACAACTGCAATATCATGATTGGATTTTGCTATTATTTTGTCATAGGACTATGGCCAAACAGTGTACCAAACTGATCTAGTACCTACAGTGTCTCTTCTGCTTGGCTTGCCCATACCTTTCTCAAATCTTGGTATGATCATTCCTGAATTATTCATTCCAGTATTAGAACACATTTCACCATATCAATCTAAAATGCATCTCATAAATTCTTTACGAACTAATTCACAGCAGTTACATGCTTTTATCAAGGCACAGAATCGTTTCAGCAATGATATTCCTCATCATGAAGTATTAAAACTTCAAAATGAGTATAGTATTTTAGAAAAAATGTACACTAGTATCAGCAGCACAAATGAGTTATCTGATTTTAAGACAATTGAAAATCAGTATATTAATTATATGGCAAAAGTACGTGAGATCTGTTTATCAGTTTGGACCAAGTTTGATACTAATAAAATGAATGCTGGAGTTATAGTCCTTATTTTACATGTTATATTATTACTAACTATTTTATTCTTCATGACCAAACTTTCTTTCAGCCTTATCTTAGCTAAAGTGAAATTGCTAGATGCTGTATCAGTCATCACAGTAGCATTTCATTCTGTCTCTCTTTTTTCAAACAGTTTTGTTGTCTATGAAGGGAAGATGGTCACATTCTTAATGCAGTCATTTATGGCAGCTCTAATAGTGACTAAATTTCGTGAAGAAGTTTTACAATTAATCCTTAATCATCGAAATCTAAAATGGAATGTATTTATAATACAATTGTACAAAAATGTCGAGCCATGTTTTAAGATCATGGTGTGTGTACATATTTCAAGATATTCTCATGTCTGTAGGGATCAGCAAGATGACTGTACTGTGTTGGAGTTCTTTAGTAAACCTGATGCTCCATTTTCTAGTGGTAACTACTTGATAGCAATTTCAAGTATTTTACAGTCAATTTTCTCGTACTTGATATTTGTTTTGGCAATAGTATATGTGCTGAAGCTTATTAAGAGTGTGTTTCAACCATTTGTATTTGAAAAGCATGCTCAGAAGCTGATTGTGTACTCTTTAGTTGTTGCCCTCTGTGGCATATTCTCAGAAATATTATCTGTTTTCATGTACTGGATTTATGTGGCTGGAGTAATTATTTTAATCTTTTCAATGGTGAAGCTTTCTGTCAATCAATACAGGAAGAATGAGGCAAAGAAAAATTTTAGCATAACATTAGATTCTTACTCATGGATTTTGCTACTAATTTGGATTTCTGTCAGTTTCATTGTTAAAGGGATGAACAACATGCTTCTAATTCCCCTCTCTATCAGCTTGATCCAGTTTATCCTACTGACACAAATTTTGAGCAAAATGCATACAAGTATGTCAATTATGTGCATAAGGGAAATGAGATCGTTAATTTTTTATTTATTATTATAGTTAGCTCATTGTCAAGAGCCACTCTTTGCTCACTTCTTAGCTACCAGTTTTTCTTCAGTTTTGGTCACCAAGCAACTATAACAAGCCTTCATTTTGATGCCGCTTTTGTCGGGGTATATGGTGAAATGACTCCTCTCAAGCTACCAATAGCTGGTTTATTTGTCACAATCAATACACTGGCATCACAGGTACATAACAAGAAGTATTCCATTATTAATAATAATTATTTTTTAATATTTTTGGCAGGTTTTATCAGCTTTAGTAGTCCCTTTATTACTACCTTGTCAAACTTGGCTTAAAAATGGAAAAGTGGTACTTTCAACAATGCATCAAATGCAACTGATTTGCACACTGTTAGGAACTGTGAAGGTAGACTATAATTGTGTTTCATAATAAACATCATGACAATTGTATTTTATAGCTCCTTTGCTCTGTTGTCGCTGCTTTTGCACTGAGACGTCACCTCATGGTATGGGCAGTATTTGGACCTCGTTTCATGTATGAAGCTGCATTTCAGTTTATTTTCATTGTAACAACAGTGTCAAGTTACTTACTAGTATTGTTATTATGAAATTTACTTAGATTTAAATTTTGTTATAAATTGTTCTCTTCTCTTCTCACGTTGCTTCATAACTTTTTGATCTTGTCTCTGCTTAACTTCCTCTGATGGCTCAAATTTGCTCCTCAAAATTCTCTTTACGGCACTAAAACTGATTCCAAAGCGGACTTGAAGCTTGTCTACGGTCCACTCCTGTGGGTAATCCCTGTACAACATTCTCAAATGATCCATTTGTGATCTTGACAGTCTTTTCATTGGGGTCCAAGGCTGTTTTGGCTTCCTATACACATTAGTGTTATCATTAATTACCATACATTGCTTACTCTGTAGATTCCTTCATACAACTTTGCAGTAAGTGAAAAAATCTTCTGTGAAAGAACATATTCTTCATTTTAGCAGACATGTTTTAATGGGCGTGTTTTACACACGTGTCATCACGCAATATCAGAATAATAGTTTTTTATTTGTCAATGTTTAAAATTAGAGGGTCTTTATTTCTGTCATTAAGGTGTTCTTGTATAATTAGCCCGTATTCCTTCCTACCCAGTAAATCATATGCTAGTGGTAGGGTTTGAAGTATGAGATCATGGAATTGTTGATCACCATGACAGAAGAGATCGGTCCCTAGTTCCAGTCCCATTCCATAATCGCATTCGTCATTAGCGAATTGGACAAATGTAACAAGTTCCTGCAATGAATCTTGCAACTTTTCCTTTGCACTGTTATTCTTACATGAAACTATCTTGTCAAGTAATTGACGAAGCTCCCCTATAAGGTAAAGAATAGAATTTAAAATTTTGATCAATTGGTAAGGTCATTATTTTAAATCACTTACATGTATTTTATAAATTATTGCCCTTTTACACATACATGTTTAGTCAAAGCAACAATAATCAATTAATTAATTCTTTAAAGGTCCCTGTTAATGATAAGAATCAGTTATATCATATCCAGGGTGGCTCACTTTTGGAGGGGCAAGGCTTTTGCGAGTGACCTAACCCAGTTTTTTAATGACTACACTTAAAATTGGCAGATGCCCCATAACTCCAAAATTTGTTCTAAATATAAAACTTTCTTAGCAAAAGGGCACACAGCATGTGTCAACAAATTGGGATGACTTCAGTTCAGAGCCATTTTTCTTATGAAAATACATGTACATGTACATGTAGCATATGGGTTTCAAAATAATTAGAGTGACTGCCAAAGTATGGGCAATCAAGTCATATTGCCAACTTTACCCATGGTTTACCTGAAAGTACATAAGTGTTAAAGTGTGTGCATATAAAGTAAACAGACATATTGCCAGATACATGTACATGTACCATGCAGGATGCTTATTACTGTAAAACACCACTTTATGTACCCTGATGGCCTGATCACCAATATGTCTTCTGTAAGAAAAGATACACCATGCTTTATAGAGTCATTTACTGTGTGCATGAAAATTCTAAAGCCTGAACTACAGAAAATTAATAAAAATCAAAGCCTGAGTAGGGGCATGTGATTAAAAGAAACATGCCAGTAGAGAGTTTTAAAATTCATCAAAAATCCAATTTTGATCAGAATCAGCTTGAACTCTTTTCACCCAAACGAACAACTATAATTATAGCTAGAAAGAATGTAACACATTGAGGGGCTCTGCCTCCTGGCCACACCTCCCAGTCCCGCCCTCAAACATACGCATACATACATACATAAATTCTCATAAGTAAGGGCTTTGCCAAAATTAATTATGCATCAAATAAAATCTAAAAATAGAGAATGCTCTCCTTGTGATTTCTGTTGCAATACCCTCGACAATCTACTGACTAGAAGCTACATACGTAAGTACTATGCCAAAAATTTTGTGGGACGCCCAATTTATAACAATACAGGCCATAATTTTAATGTTATTACAACTACTGGCCACTAAATTTTGACTTAAAAATACACAATACACCATACATTCCTAGTGTGATATAATTACGTTGCAAAGTTTTAAGCAGGTCTATTATGAGAAAATTTTTTTGACTGTTATGCTAAGCATTCTTAATTATGTAAACTATGTAAGCACAAACGGCTATAGTAAGTATACATTACTACTGACACTGTGTAGAGGTAGGATGCATAATTGTAGTTACATTACACAAACAAATTGTATATTTTACAGAAGGTTAGTTCAGATGTTCCAAGCTATTATAAATTAGTCATACCTCATATGGTAGTTATTAGTATTAATTGCTACATGTATTTGCCACAGTAATCCTACACAACAAGTTACATGTACAGTACATGTAGCGGATATGTACATGAACATGTATGTACTGTGTATGTACATGTAGCAATATTGGTTATGAAACAAATATGCTACTGATTATATATTCAGTTGAAAATTTACTTTAAACCTAGTATTTGTAAGATTTCAATTAAATAAGGTATAATTGACTAAACAAGAGAAAGCTTAATAAAAATATTGGTCCTCAACTACTCATAGTATTGGTTCATTCAAAATCTAGCAACAAAAACTGGTGCACTAAAATTAAACAGTATCCAAATGAGCTTGAGCAAAATAGCCAATAAAAATTCAAGATTGCTTACTTAGTACTTACATTAATGGCAATGCCAAATTTTAATTATAATAAGGCATGGGTTACTATCATAAGAAATGTGTAGAACAATGTTACAATATAGCTATTAGATTTAGCATCACACTTATTACTTATAATGTTAGTATTATGACACTTACTGTTGGTCATGGTAAGTGGTCTATATCCTACGTCAAGTTGAGGGTCAACAGGTACATTCATTCCAATACCGTTGAAGCACACAGAAACTGTTTTTCTACCAGATGGCTTTATATCCTTCATATTGAGTCCTAATTCAGTTCCTTTATCAACAAGTGAAGTCTCCAATGCCTTGAGCTCCTTTCTACAATCCTTTGATAAGTCCGGTTTCTTTAGCGCTATAGACACTTCTTTCCTACATGTACAGATTAATTGAAGGACTCATTGTTAATAATGCATGAAAGCTAGCACAAATACTGTTTTAACTAAATTACTTACTTGACTGCAGCAAAAATATTAAGACCACAGTGTTTCAGTTGGCATCCTTCAGAGCTAGTATTACATACCATAAAGGTGTCAGAGACGCCATTAGGCTCATCCCTATAACACACAATTATATATGTAAATTAAAAATTTTAACATACTGTATAACACTTTAATTTGGTGGAGTTTTATTTTGGCAATTGGCAGTTTGCAAGCAGAACCGCCAATATTAAAACCGCCAATCATTAATATGCATGCTCAGTAATGCACGTGTACACAAAAATCGCCAAATTAAAAACTGCCAATTACAATTTTATAGCAAAATCGCCAAAATAAAGCGTTATACGGTAGTACATGTATATACCACATTTAGCCATTACACATTTTCAGCATTTTTATATACAGTAGTCATCAAAATGATAGAAATTATAGACAAAAAACAATCATACATGGAAACACAAAGCGTAATGTGCTAAATATTTACTTCTTATTTTGCTAACTTTTTAAACATTGGGGACAATAATACTATATTCTACCACATACAAGTATATTTACAATAAATTACCTGTAATAACCAATGTGGTACCCTGTCACATTTTTTTCAGATGTCTCATCTCTTGCAAGAACTGTTATTAACTCAGGAGGATCATAATAATAACGATAATGAAGGACACACTGGGATGAAGCTGGCAACAATCCTGCAAGCTCATGATAAGGACCAACTAACTGCATATCAATAGAAGAGAGTGAATCTGGCAAAATGGAAGAGAGAAAATTACCGTACTTAACAGATGAAGGAACAAAGCAAGAAAATATAGAGATGTAGCAAGGTAATGCTTTGTGTACATGTGTATGTGTTCAATACATTTATTTGGTAAAAAAAACTAAATTAAAAACACCAATGAAGCCATTCAATCACTCAATCAACATGCACATTAACATAATGATGTCTTACTCAAAGGATCACTTGGTTTCATAATTTTACAAAACTCCCAAAACTGATAAAAGTCGTCTGGCATTTGAACAAGAAATTTTCTTTTGATATTTTCCTTCACGTCATCCTCACTTGAAATTACACTCACTTTATCTGTAGACCCTTCTTCAGACAATGGCTCCATATTACGCTTCGACTGAGAAGAACCTCCACTATCTGATAAAGACCTAACTCTTTTTCTAGTGGCAGGTAAGCTAGCAGGCACATCCTTTACATGTGGATTCAGTCAGAATATTAAATAGAGTCTATCATGCGTATTAAATACCTCGCTTTTGTCTACGTTATTATGATGCTGGCCAGATAAAGAAAGGTCTTCTGCTGGATGAGAATAGTCTTTAAAGTGCTGGGGGTTCTTACGATAGCAGGCACTGCCGTATTTGCATTCTGGTTTACTCTCGCCTGCAGCCATTATTTATTTTTATTATTAATTTTTTCCAGACACCACACCCTTCATTAACAAAAAAAATTAAAAAGGTAACACCAAAAGTAATGTACTCTTGGTAACACTGAACATCATTGTTTGTATTAGTTAAACAGAGACAGAATGCAATCACATTGATGATAATGTATTTAAGACACATGTAGTTTATAAGATGCTGATCCGTTAGCCATAAAAGACCCGGGGTTTGTAGCTGGTGCAGATGATGGTGGGGTCGATAATCGGATAGAGGGCTCAGTCATTCTTCGATCAGGTGCAGGCTCAACTGACACAGATCCATGCCGAGTAAAACTTCTTAGTAGACCCACACTTAATCTCACAGCTTGAATAGCAGCCTAAAATGTATTAATGAAAGAGAATAGTGCAAATTTTGAATAAAAAGAATCATTGATTCCCACAATGCACATGTAAATTACAAAGGATTTAACAAAGAACTCACGAGTAATTTCCTTCTCCTGCGGAGCTTCTTCAGCCTCTCAGTATTAATTCTTGCAGCTTGACTTGTAGACTATAATAATAATAATAATAATAATAATAATAATAATAATAATAATAATAATAACACATACAATAAATTGCAATAATTATTATAATGGTACTTACTCCATTAATCCATTTATGTTCCTGTGCATCAATGCTTGTCAAACGTTTCCTAAAAATATCAATAACAATTAGAAACATCATGCATTGGCTTCACAAACAATGGTAATATAGTAATTAATGTCATCTTGTTTTCTTTATTACAAACAAACAGTGCTAATGTATCAATACAGTACATCTGCAGTACATTATCTACCTTGGGTCACTGATGAGTAAACTTGATATGAAATCCTTGGCAGCATCTGTTATATCATCATACCCTTCCTCTGGATCTGATTCTGGGAATTCAAACTCTCCTTCGGTGACATTTTGAATAGTCTCTGCATCATTATCACCCAAAAATGGAGAACAACCTGTCAATCTGTACAAAATGATAAACAAATTTTAACATTTTAGCCAACAAACGAGCAAGTATAATGACATAAGTACTTGTGGTACACTGGAAGTTGTATTACACACGTTTTAAATACCAAATATGGTAATACACTACATAATTTTAATGCTATGTAGCAATATGAGATGTTTTATGTGGTCAATTATGATAATATAAACTACTCTATAGAATGTATTCTCATGAGAGCCTATATCATAATTAGGATGACAATGAGCAGTGACTTACAAGCAAAATGCAATGACGCCAATTGCCCTAATTAAAAAGAAAATAAATAAGAGTGTAGCCCAACTAAACTATGTGTGCATTACCACATATCAGCAGCACAAGTGACAGGGTCATAATTCAGCACTTCAGGGGCTGCAAAAATAATAAACACAATCCAAATATGTAACTTGCTTACCGACGAATTCAGGCGTTCCAGCTAATGCTTTTACTGCTTTATCTTTAGTCAAATGTTGACAAGTACCAAAGTCAATGATCTTTAATTCCTTTGCTGATTCATCTTTCAGCACTATATTCTCAGGCTAAGTAATTAAGATACTATAATTACTACAGCAGTTCACATTTCCTTAATCACACTATGTACTATAGTTATGACAAGGAGAGTAAACAGGATGGTGGGGTGTACATGTACAGCAATGTAATACATCTAACATGCCAGTAACATTCTGATACAGCACTCAAACATAATTAAAATTCTATCAGTGCATGTTTAGCAAATGGCACACTCCTACTTGATACATGATCTGTCACAACAAATTGCTGTTTTGTTTTTCATAGCATTATTTCGTTACAAGAGGAATGAGCAACAGATTCATTCACATGAAAATGCCAAATCATAATTATGACTATACCTTTAGGTCCAAGTGGCATATGTCCCTTTTATGCATGTACTCTAGCCCGGACAATATCTGTTTCATAAAGAATACAGCCTCAGCCTCTTCAACATAGTCCTTTGTCACACAATAGTCAAACAGTTCTCCTCCATTTAAACTAAATACAAAACAGGATAGTAAAATATGACAATCATACATATTCTGCATATCTCCCTGCACATGGTCACCATAACACATGCATGCCCATTCAAGTGCTTACAGCTCAGTGACTAGGATATAGCTCGTTTTGTCAGGAACGTAGTCGATAAACTGTAAGATGTTCGGATGGCTTAACTGTCTCATTATGGCAACTTCTCTCTCGACGTCATCTTTCTTGTTGTGCCTTCCTTTCATCACTTTTATAGCTACGAAGCTGTTGGTAGCTTTCTCAGTGCAGCGATAGACTACACCAAACTTGCCCCTTACAAATAAAACAATAATCAACTTGGTCTCTGCATAGGCACTTACTTAGCTATTTCTGCCACAACATTATAGTTTTCTTGAACGTATTTGGGGACATCTTTAGAAGACATGATGATCACTCACTGTAACGACAGCGCTATTGCATTTCCTTTTATCATTAGAGAGATACTCCCACTAAGGCGTCATTAATGTTAATTAACACAATAATCATTATTAATTAACAATAAATAATAATATGAAGGCAATGATAATATTATTATAATAAAAATTATTTCAAACAACATATGAGGTAGACACTACACCATCAATATTTACAAAAAGAGAGTTCCTTGGATTGCTGAAAGGTGAAAGTCCATTGACAAGCTCAGCAGCAACGTCTTCACGACCAATCCCAGTCAAAGCATCAACCAGCATCACTACTGTTTCATGACTCCTGTTTTCCCATGCTAATAATAATTTATCAGTAGGACTGCCCATATCAGACGAGACATCTATGACTGGAACATCCTCTTGAACACCTAACTGTAGAGCAAGGAGGCACCAATCACGACCAAATGGGTCAGGAGGGTCCAGCATACGGCAAAGCTCAACTCTTGTCTTAAGAGGGATATCTCTTATTGATGTAAAAGGGGCAGATTTGACAGATATCTCTAATTCTTTACAGCCACAGCAAAGAAGATCAACTATGCTCTCTCCAGAGCCAATCTCTGCATTAGGACTATTCAAAACTCCAGTGTTCCTTTCGGCATTAAATATTTCCATTGACGAATACATGTGAGGGTTTTTCTGATGCTCCGCCATTGATCGAGTACTCAGAACCTTAAGCGTGAAGCTAGTTCCAGGATTTGAATCAAGTATGATATTACTCAATATTTCGTAAAACTGTTGGAGAAGAGCAAAGCATTCGGTACGACAATCCTCAGTGCCTCTAACAGCAATCTCTATGCTGCGATTAGGCTCCGGCTGTCTGACACATATCTCAACCTCACCTCGACAACACTTGAGACCATCACTCCAGAATATGACCTCTTGATCCTCAATATCATCAGAGAATATGTTACGAATATGAAGCTGTGCCCGGGGGAATACACTCGGAGAAAATATATTTGCTTCAGAAGACGTCTCAAGTCTAATACCAGCATACACAGTCAGTTGAGGGTCCTTCTCCCACAAGCCATAAAGAGGCTCCATTCTGATAAGCAGTGGGAATTGATATGCCTCTCTGTTCCCTACTGGCTGGCACAATTCAAAATGTTCCATTAAATGAGCAACGGAGAGAGGATCGAGCTCAGGATAGACACGCCGTATCTCCCTTAAGGATATAAGACCAGTAACCGAGTTGAACTGAGGAGAGAGTGAGTCCTCTGGCGCTAATGCTGGACCAAATATCCTCTGCCCCAACCAATCAGGATTGAGTACCAGCAAATTCTCTAGTTTCCCTTCAGTTATATAAATGATCTAAAATATTTAAAATGACTATATCATAATTATTATAACTAATCACTGGTTTTACTATAATGTATGCATGTATATGTATAATGCATGTACATGTATAACGCATGCGATGCATAATGTATGCACGTGTGCAACAAATTAGTGTGGGATTGTACATGTTGGTGGAATGCATATGTAGCAACACAAACACTGAAAACACTTGAACTCACTTCTCCAGTATCATTCAGTGCCTTGGCAACAAGTTGCAGGGTCTCAGGAGTGACAAGAGGGTTCACTTGCTCCTGTACACACAAAAGAAACGCCTCCCACGTCATGACAGGAAACTGTGAATACTCTTTTCTCCAGGTGGGCAGTGTCTGCTGCAATGTAGTAACAAGCTGAGGGACCCAAGGCTGCTCCTATTAAATAACAACACAAATAAATCTATGAAATCCGACTCTCCATTCATGAGTCACTATTGTCGTATTCATGAGTCACTATTGTCATATTCATGGACACATGAGGCAGTATGTGGTGGGTAGGTCACATCTTCGTATGGCGTGCTCAAATTACAAACTGACTAGACTACGTGTATTTACTGCTGTTACACGATCAAGTAAGCATTATTCAAAGAATTCAATGTCATGTAGGAAAGATTAATATCTATCTCTCATATTAACATAACAGAATGGTGTAGGTGTAACAGTGCATAAAGAGAATTGAGGGGGATACCAGTGTATTTGTATTGTGGCATGCAAGCAATGCTTACCTTTAACATTGATTGTCTCAAAGTTCCAAGTAAACTACGTAGTGACTGTATTTCTCTTCCTCTTGGTTGACGACAATCCAAACAAAATACTTTATCGGTAAACATGAAATGATGTCCAAACTCCCCCACTAACTGCTGTAACAACCTTTTAGGCTCTTGTACGGACATTATGCGATCCTTGACTCCATTAGAGCTAGTCCTCATGTGTGACGTGGTAGCATCAAAATGATCTTCCATGTTATATCCAAATAGAATCGGTGGTAGTTGGTTTGGATTGTCGGCAAAACTCTGAACCAGAATAACAAAGGGCTTCTGGCCAGCATGACCACCATAATGAATGAATTTGCTTGGACGGTGCTTTGACTTGATCATGGCCAGCCAGAATCGAACTTGAGCTAACTGTTGTTCATATGAATGAAGACGATTGTACATAACAATATATATTGTATTCCTTGACTCAAGGAAGTACTCATGAGTGAGGTAATAGTCTTTATGGCCAGAGAAATCCCATACACTAAACTCACCAGCATTAGGTATGTTCAATTGCTCCACGCAAAACCCAAACGTGTGACGATATGCTGCTGGACCAAGATAGCTACCTCCAAACTTTGTCGGACGAAGTGAGCGAAGGAATCTGGCTTTTAAAGATCCAATGAGTGTTGTCTTCCCAACATCAGCTGCCCCACATACCAAAAGCCTCACTTTGTTGACTTGAACCATTCCCAGAGTTATTTCATGGAGACACTTGTCTCTCATTCCTTCCTAACAATATAAGGGAATGCTATGATATGAACTGAATGTGCTGAACCGAGTGTAATAATTCTTGTTGTTTACCTGGTGTAATGTCTTTAGCATAGCAGCTAAGGAATTATTACCAGTAGAGGCTGCCAATTGATCAACAGTTAATCCTTCCTAAAGAAATAGACAATGGAATACTACATGTATATAAACAGTTTTACTGTCTGCTTACATTATCTTGTATATTCAAGTCACTACCAGCTGAACACAAATGCCTTGCAATCTCAATGTGGTTATGTAGTGCGGCTAAGTGCAGTGGAGTCATTCCTTGCTAAAATGAGGTTGAGGGATGATGTTTGAAACAATCTAACATACCTTATTACAGACATTAAGTTTACAGTGAGCTGCAAACAATGTGTGAACAAGCGAAAGTTTACCATCTTTACATGCTTCATGAAGCGGGGTGTTACCGTTCTATAATCACAAAACAATAACAATAAACAATTAAAGGAAAATTCTTACTTTGTCTTGTATGTTTAAGTTACAGCCCTGTTCACAGAAGAACTGAACTATATCTAAGTGATTCCTTTTAGTTGCTAAGTAAAGTGGAGTTTGGCCTTCCTACAAAAGTAACAAATGATCTTGAAGGGCAAGTACAGAAACTGGATTCTTGACATACCTTATTTACAGCATTCAAATCAGATCCTTTCTCACACAAATATCGAACAATTGTATAGTTCCCTCTAACTGATGAAACATGAAGAACTGTATCGCCATCTCGATTAGTAAGACTCAGAGAAGAGCCTGCTAGTATCAGCCTCTCTACTATATTCTGAAAACCATGCCAACAAGCACACAACACAGGTGTATCGCCATCCTATATATTATAAGTATTTAATTCAGGCATACATGAACTTACATTATCTTGAATGTCGAGGTTAGCATTAAAAGATATAAGTGATTCTAGTACATCAGGGTGACCATAACGAGCAGCAACATGGGTAGCTGTTTCACCAGACTAGAAAACACAACAATAATTAAAGCTAGTTTACTCTAAGCTTACTTTATCTTGATGATTAATGTCAACTCCATTAGAGCACAAATATATCACAACGTCATTGTGGCCATGTCTTGAAGCCCAGTAAAGAGGTGTGTCTCCTTGCTGCAGTGATAGAATGTAATTAAAAATAATGGATAGTCTCGCCTAGCCTTTATGTGGGCAATAACCAACTAGTAATATACTAAACACACAATAGTTTAATTGTTTAATTACATAGGTTTAACATAATGGGGAAAATGATGCCAAAGTATATACTCATAACACGCGTGTTCCTAATCTTGTTGCCAAATATGCTTCCCTATAGCAATAGTAACAAATTTACTTTATCTGAAATGTCAAGACGAGCTCCAAACTGTCGTAATTCTTTAACTATTTCTAATCGCCCGTAACCTGCAGCAATATGGAGAGCTCCCTCTCCATGCTGTTAATTAGAATGCATACTAACAATGTGAGCTAAAATGATACATACCTTATTGGTTGCATCAACATTAACACTCTCATTCGTCAGAAGATTTCTTAGAGTTGCTAAGTTGCCATTATCAACAATCTTCAGAAGATTTTGCGTCAGATTCTAAGGCATCACAAAAAAGGAGGCATGAGGTGGGAGTGGGAACTGAATCCTTACCTGATCACTCTTCTTTGCCATGAATGCAGATAGATATAGCGTACACACCCACTTTTCGCTTCAAACTTTTCAGAGGCAGAACGATATGCTTCACAGTGCCTAGGACTGCTTCTCTCTTCTTCTCAGAAGTGAGAGGTGATCGCGACAAGCGACAACACAAGCACTTGCGTTTGGAGTATAGTAGAATTAACATAAAGGCGTGGCTGGAATGCACAAAATAAAAACAGAGGTGATGAATAAAGTACTACCATAGAGAGTCACGTGCTTGTAGTGCATTTGGTAACAATAAAAATGTTTGTACAAGCCTAATCTAAAAATTAAAACAAAGCAAAAAGTAAAAAGAGTCCTAATTGTAGCTGTTAAGTTTGTGAGCTATTAAAGATTGCATGTGTTAAGTAGAACGTTAGAATAAGTTTCAATGTCAGACGGATCAATACTAGTAGTAATCCTATCATCCAAGTCCACCAACTGGATGTTGTTAAGACAACCTTGGAAAGACCCTGCTGTAACTGTATAGCGAACTAGGACATTATCTAAAAAGTCAAAGAATAATAAATATATTTTTCAGCAAGTAAATTAATCTCACTAGGTACTCCTCCAGCATATAAAGGACTATCAGTGTTAACAGATATAAATCCAGTACTTGGTAAAGTAGTGCTAACTGATGCTTGTCCATCTACAGTCAAACTACCAATCACTCCACTTTTAGAGGCTATAACTCTGTGCCAGTTTCCATCACAGAGTGATGATAAGTTTGCTGGAATGTACTCAACAACACCAGGTCCATGACCATTATCAAATATAAATCGAACCTACATTGTAAAATAAAATTTGCTGCTAGTATTCAAAATTTAATTAACACACCTTTCCTTCACTGATTTCCAAAGCTGTGTGATCCTCAAGAAGCAAACTTGAACTGTAAAGAAGTAGGCCAGAGCAATGAGCTGTTCTAAACTGAAGTCTAAACTCATATGCCACCAGTGGTCTGTAAACATTAACTATAAAGAATAATCATTATTCATTCTTTAACACCAAAAACTAACCCAGTGTAGCATAACCACTACCAAGAAATGATAAATAATCATTGTATTCATCTTGACAAGTGTCCACTAAACCACTAGCTGCAGATGGAGCTCTATTTAAAACATCAAAATCAAAATTAATTGTAATAATTATTGACAAATATACCTTAAATTAATAATTTCACCATTAACAGAAAAGTAATAAAAACATGCCTCTGCACCAGATGGAACCTAAAAGTAAAAATGTTACAATAAATAAAACAACTTCAATGATGAGCATACCAATGACTGATGACTATACAGATGAAGAGAGGACAGCATAATTCCCGAAACCCCACCAATATAAATAGGCTCAGCATTTGTATTAAGTTGATCATGGGTGTCATAAGATACACCAGTATATTCTGTACCGTCAACAATTAATACACCTCTTGTTCCATTACGTGTAATAGTTACCTGTAGCAAATGGCAATAAACAATAACACGGTTAATAAATTACTAACAGTGTGATTCATATTGTCATCATATCTATTAAGAGCAGAATACGGATTAATAAATATGGATCCTGCTCCCAGATTATAAGAATAGTAGATGGCTCCATTACGAAGCTCCAGTGCCATATAATCATTATAAATTGCACTTTGAGTATAAATTAGCAAAGCATTACTAGACGTGGTTCTAAAGGTCAATGTAATTTCAGAGCTAATGGTGAAAATAACAAAGATAAAACTAATACAAGAGCTTATAGATGTTACCTGAAGGTAATGTCTGATGGTAGACTATATGAGAGGAAGCTACCACGTTGCCCATTCAAACCCACAGGATCAATAACTGGTGTGGGTACGATTGTAGGTAAAACAGTTGAGCTTACAAAACTCTCAGTTGGTGATGGTGATACTGTAGAGCTCTCAGCTGGTGGTGATGATGGTAATACAGTAGAACTCTCAGTTGGTGAGGGTGATACTGTAGGGGTCTCAGCTGGTGGTGATGATGGTAATACAGTAGAGCTCTCAGCTGGTGGTGATGATGGTAATACAGTAGGACTCTCAGTTGGTGAGGGTGATACTGTAGGGGTCTCAGCTGGTGGTAATGATGGTAATACTGTAGAGCTCTCAGCTGGTGGTGATGATGGTAATACAGTAGGACTCTCAGTTGGTGAGGGTGATACTGTAGGGGTCTCAGCTGGTGGTAATGATGGTAATACTGTAGAGCTCTCAGCTGGTGGTGATGATGGTAATACAGTAGGACTCTCAGTTGGTGAGGGTGATACTGTAGGGGTCTCAGCTGGTGGTAATGATGGTAATACTGTAGAGCTCTCAGCTGGTGGTGATGATGGTAATACAGTAGGACTCTCAGTTGGTGAGGGTGATACTGTAGGGGTCTCAGCTGGTGGTAATGATGGTAATACTGTAGAGCTCTCAGCTGGTGGTGATGATGGTAATACAGTAGGACTCTCAGTTGGTGAGGGTGATACTGTAGGGGTCTCAGCTGGTGGTAATGATGGTAATACTGTAGAGCTCTCAGCTGGTGGTGATGATGGTAATACAGTAGGACTCTCAGTTGGTGAGGGTGATACTGTAGAAATTGTTGGAGTGATTGTAAATGAGCTTTCACTAGGTGTTGGTGTTGGGGAAATGCTTATACTGTCTCCTGATCCAAAACCTGACCCTGACCCTGATGGATTTATGGTAGGAGGAGGAGGGGGAGTTGTCTCAGCTAATCCATGACAACCAAATAGCACTACACTTTCAGATAGCTCAGCATTGTTGAAATCATACTCCTCAGAATTGATTCTCAAATTACTAAGACATCCTCTGTAATAATCAGTGATAACTGATCTAGCAGAAACAGCAGGACCTCCTACTGTAACAGAGCCCAATAATGATAAGTAATTAGTGTTAGTAGCTGTGCTTGCTGTTCTAGATTCCTCATCAACTACCAGTATAACACTGCATAAAAAATAAATAAATAAATAAAAATTTATAAAATCATAGATCAAAAATTAAGATTCCCAGTCTTATTGTAATTAATTGAAGGCACTGGACATTTACTTTCCCAAAAGGCTTGAATGGACTTTGGCATAGTGTTCATGCAGCTATGTCAGTGGATTAAACTCATAAATTAAACCAAAAACCCTAACTGTACTACATATCTTCAGCCAAATTTTTTTCCAAATCAAAAAAGAGAATTCTCTATTTTTATAATTTTTAAAAATAAATCTACATGTACATGTACTTCTGTAGTGTTTTTAACAAATTTAGAAAGTCACCACATACATTGCTTGTCAATTCATAAAGCATGCTGATTGGCACACGTGAAATGCTTTGCAGAAAATCCTGTCTCAGTATCATTATGTCATTGTCATATACATGTGGCAACATACTGTACTTTTAATTACCAAATCAATTGGACCATAAAAACATTGATAATTAGCAAGAGTATTACTATTGCGAATTAGTAGAGCATAACAATGTGTTTACCATTTGACTATATGCATAAGTACTTTCAAATTCAAAACCAATGGCAAGTTATCTTTAATTTGTACATTCACTCCACTTACTTATCTCCAACTAATGAAATATTGACATAGTGCGATTGGCCATCATTAAGATTGTTCTGCACTGAAGTCAATACAATGTCATTAAAAGTGTTCACAATCTCAACACGTAGGTAAGTGTGAAACAAAGTAACAAGCAATCTATCAGACTACAAAAATAGTAAATTTAACAAGAAAAAAATTTTGCCTTCTTACAAGTAATCCTGTTACATCAAGTAAAACTGATGAGATCTGCTGAGTTTTGAATTGAAAAGAAACAGATTCAAGCCATCCAGTCATACTGAAAAGAGCTGAGCCAGTTCCCATAAAACGAGTACCAGGAGAAACCTATAGGGGCTCAGTAAAACTTAACTCACACTAAAAGACTTACTGAGCTAGGACAATTTGATACTTCAACTCTTTCAGCTACTTCAGAGACAGAAAAATTAACTCCCATATTGTTCAGTGAAAAATTAGCAACACAACCAGAAAATGAAGGAAGACTAAAAAGAAACAATTAATATGTATGTAGAAGTAGCTCATAAGGCATACTTTAGCCATGATGTTCCACCAAGTGTAACATTAATTGGGGAAGTTACATTTGAAGCAAAGCTGCCAAGTGATATGCTAGAAGTAACATCATCAACAATTAAGGAAGCCCTCAATGATGCTACACTTATGGACACTTGTAAATAATGCCAATACCCATCAGTAACCACTACTGAAGAATTGGAGGTACGTACATCCATACCAAGTGAAAGCCTCAAGTGAATGAGACCTTCATTGACATACAATAATATGGTGCGATTCTAAAAAATTAAATAATTCCATCATCAATTCATTAATGCATTTTTCTTACATTCATATTTTGTATGGTTAAAACTTGTGACGAAGCTGAAAAAGTTCTAAAAGCAAATGAGAAGTCTAATTCACCACCATCAAAGTCAATAAAACCAAGAGATAGTTGACTTTTTCCTTGAAACCAAGCACCTGATTCAAACAATCTAGGCATCTCAGCAGCTGGCCTACAGTAATGAATACTAATACATTACTGAATATATAATGTGTTAATACCTGGGACCACATCCTCTTATTGCAACTGTTGAGCTATTAGGTGTAAGCAAGGACAACATTTCCCCATTGATGACAACACTATCAATGCAACCAGTATACGAGAAGTCACCATCAACATCACCAGCTAACAATACTGATGATTGCATCAAAGGCATAGTGGAATTAGCTGGTGCCATCAGTGTAACAGTATTAAGACTATTTCCTTGTATTGGAGCCACAGAGAGAAACAGAGATGACTCATTACTACAGAAAGTACTATTTTAATCACAATATCACATTATTTATAACATACAATGATGCTTCAACTTGATACCACTCAGCCAAAGACAAGCTTAAGTTGTATGTTTGTATCTCATAATCACCATAGCTCCATTTAACCTCTCCGTCCTCCAGCTCTAAGTTATTGATACTTTCATCGTCAGTTAAAAGAATTCCTGACAAAGACTCGGGTCTAAAGTTTAGAGAGAGATGGGTCTCTCCTGGCATAGGCGATGAGGACAAGTTGTAAGTAGCTGTGCCATTGCCATGGAATCTCAATGCTATATCAACCTAAAGCAATAATATGTAAAGATTAATAATTATTACCAATTTACTAACCAACGCTGCTGCTTTTTGTGCTTCTATCAGTTGTTGATGCAGATCAAACATAGAGGTGCTTGCACTACTTATTTCAGATGCTAACAAGGTCCTACTGTCATTAATCATATTTAAATAAGATACTCTTTCACGAAAACTGTCTTGTGCATGTTGTGCTGTGGCATTGGCAAGCAAAAGCTCATCATCAATTTCAATAGTATTTTCAGACAAATCAATGAGGTCCTCATTTGTTTCAGTGACATCGTCGATTACACTCGAGTGTAAGGTTAGTACTTTATTATAGTAGGTAGAATTAATTAACTGAGTACTGTTAAGAGCATAAGATAACAATAACTTGATATTGTTAACAGTCACATCTATATCAGTGAAAATAAATAATAGTAAATACTATTAAGGTAGTGAAATTAGTAGATTGACTTACTTGTAACAGACTGAACATATTGATATCTTAGAGAGAGATCATTAAGTGACTGCAATAAGCCAGTGCTGACATTGCCACGAGTATCATTTAGCTCTCTTGTCAACTGATTATATACTGAAATCGTTTCTAAAGCATATTAATATCAAATATAATAATAATTAAAAATCAATTTTACCTGAAATGCTTTGTTCAATAGAAATTATATTTTGTGAAAGATTTTTTGTGCTATTAGACAATTCATTGACACTAAAATCCAATTCAGTACTCATTATCATCTCCAATGTATTTAGAATGTCACTCAAATTCAATCCTACCACAATTTGATATGCCAATGACAGAGTTTCATTAACAAATGTATAGTCCATTATAGCAGCAACAGCATCATTCCCACCATAAAGACTGGCATTAATAGTCCTTCAAATTTAAAAGAAAAAATTGTAATTAATAACAACAAAATTACATATATTACCTGCAAAATTCATCACTCTGACTGATAATGTTACTGGCATTTAGCAAAGCACTCTCATATCTATCAGAGCTCCTATTAAACACTTCACTCAGCTGACTAATCCTTAAGTCAAGTTCATCAATAAGATCAACAATATAGTCCTGACTACTAAGAGAGACATTTATACCACTGTCATTACCAGTAGGGAAATCAGTCAAAGTGATTTGTAGTTGCTGGAGTATTGTAGAAGTGTTGGTGAGCTTGTCACGCACTGCCAATAAGTCAGCCTCAGAATCATCAATAAGAATCATAGAATCATTTACCAATCCTGATACATTATTAGCAGCAGTTAAAAGTTCAAGATACTCAGAAGTATAATTTGCAGTTGCATTATCAACAGACTGAAGTAGTTGCTGAATCCTCATTTCTAATTTCATAAACCTTGCATAATAATCATTGAAAGAGTTAATTCCGGAATTGATCATTGACGATTCTGATACACTCGATGCATACGTACTGTTCACTTCATTTTCAATGTTAGCAATGTTTTGAAGCGCTGCTTGCTTCTTTGTTGTATTTATCAATATTTCTTCTGTAAGGTTATAAGTCAGAGATTGAAGGGCATCTAATGTTGCAGAAGAACTATTTTCTAATTGATAGAGTTTTTGTGTTATGTTAACAACAAAGTCCATAGTATCTAATAATGACAAACACATTGAATATAAAAATACATTGAATATGTAATACATGTACTTACAGTTCAATTCTCCTTCTCCAATATTAACCAAACTATTGTGAAGGTTTATGGCACTAACTAGTACACTCTCAGAATAATTCCTTATGTTTCGTAAGTCAACAATCAACATATTTATCTATAATACAGATTTCATATTAGCCATAATTATAACCAATAATTATTCTTACCTCTACATTAAACTGAGCCAACATGCTTTGTATATTATTTGTCCTATTAGTAAGAACATTTAAGTCATTCGTTCCTTGAGTTAAATTCTCCATTGACTGGTTATAGGTAGATTCAAGTCTAGAAATATCACTGGATAAAGATAGCAAGTTCAATGTATCAGCATTTTGAAGATGATTGGCATCAATTATGAAAGTGTCAATTCTTTTAAGATCCTCTTTAAAAGAATCAGATTTTCTTTTTAGTGATAGACTACAACTATCACATTGTATGCAACCATCACTACTTAGTTCATGATAATAGTTAGAGCATCTGTCACACTTCAGTCCTATCACATTGTCACCACAGTGACACTGGCCAGTCGTTAGATGACAACTGTTATTAACAGCACCATCTCCACAATCACATTCTAAAAAAGCAAATAAATTTTATTTATAATACCGTATAGTGAAAATATTTTGTGACCCAAAATTTTCACAAATTTTATGTTTTTTTTTTTTAATGTACGACAATAAAATTTGAGAAAATCAATTAGGTACAGTTCAATGTGACAGAAAAGGATAAAGTCGCAAAAATTAAGGCCACAAAATTTCTCGACAAATTTACAAAATTTTGGGACACAAAAATATTGCAATATATGGTAATAATTCCTCGTACTTTGACAACCATTTTCAGTAAAATTATAATATTCCAGTTTACACTCATCACAGTTTAATCCTTGAACTCCTTCATTACAAGAACACTCTCCAGTGGTCACATTACAGCTTTCAGAAGTAGAGCCGTCAACATTGCACATACAAGGAGTGCATCCATCAACAGAGAAATTCCAGTAATTATCCTACATACATGTATAATAAACATGGTAGTGAGACAAGTTCACTGAATTAATATATAATGTACCTTACACTCAGTACATTTAGTACCACTGACTCCATTTCTGCAATCACAGACTCCACTAGTTTTGTTACAAATACGACTGGTAGATGCAACGCATTCACAAGCTGAACAAAACATTAGTAAACAAGAATAATCACTTGATGATTAATAACTTACGCTCGCATGACTGAGTCAGTGCATCACCAAAAAATTCATCTTGACATATTTCACATTGGGGGCCAGTTGAATTATTAATACAATTCATACATTCTCCAGTAGTATGATTGCAAGCATCAGGGTCATTAGTATCAATATTACCAGAACACTGACAGTCACTACAGGGATAATCTGGTGGAATTCCATAATAAGAAGGAGAACAAATGTCACACAGTGATCCTTCATGGCCATCTAAGCAAAAGCAAACTGGCTGAGAGTTTTCTGCAATACACGACTGACTACAAAATAGAAATATTTATTTATCAGCATTCCAATCCGGGCTTTTGCCATAGTGAATATATAGTCAAGTTGCTCAAAATGGGGCCAAAAGACTCTGTACTAAGTACAGAAAATTTCAAAAAAAATTACAAAGAAAGAATGCTCCATTTTTATAATTTTTTTGATACACATATGAACATGTTTTTAAGTTGCGTAGAAAACTTGAGTTGAGTCTGGTCAAAATTTGATTTTTTATGAATTTTAAAATTTCCTTGAAATACCACGTGCAGTATTGTAATGCTTGCCAGCTCATAAAGCAGCTGTTTATCTCACATAGCATGCTTTGAGGGAAACCTTGATTTGAATATCAAATTTTGAACATTATACATGTAGTTTGTTAAAAACTTTGTAATGCTCTGCTGTGTAAAAGTTTGATTAAAGTTAAAATACATTAAATTTTATTGTTTCTGCCAAAATAATAATATAATTTTTGTAATTTCTGATACACACTAAAAATAATGGACACAGTTTTTGTAATTAAACTACAAATGCAATCAAAGAAAATAACTAATGCAACTACCATATAGCGGGATTTATTAACGAAGGTTTTATTTTGATGAGTTGACAATTAAAAATAAAACGTCAAATTTTATAACCATCAAAAATTTTGTACGTCTTTGCCGTGTGTACAAGAAGGGCACTATTTGTCAACTTAAAACTTGCCAATGGGGGAAATTTACTGTTTTTGTTAAATTTTTTACTCGTCAATAAATCCCACTACAAGGTATCTAAAGTTAATAAAACTAATAATGTCAAAAACTAAAATTAGCGGAAATACACATAAAAATATTAGAATGGCAAGAGTAGATACTAATTTAAAGAAAGTGTCAAACTGAAAGTTTGAAGCATCTTTGTAATAGACGTAACATTTCAATTATTAGCTACATGTATAATACAAGTACATGCACTAATCTCTTACTTAATAGCTGTGTTAGGATGACAAGGACACTCAGTGCATTCAAGATCAGAGGTAATGGAAGAGTTGTAATATTCATCAGCACAATATTGACACAGCTCTCCAGTTGTATTAAGAGTACAGTTTAATGGAGGAGGATACACCACTGGAGGTGGAGGAACAGGAAAAAGCTACAAGAATAAATCAAAGTACAAATTAAATAGTCATGCATTATTGAAGATTATTTTGTCTTACCAAACAATCTCCAGTAAAATCTTCACAAATTAATGAGTCATTGTTACAAGTACACAAGACACAAGAGCTGTCATTGTGACGATAATAGCCAGAACTACAATTCTAAAAACCAAAAATATTGCAACAATTGAATTCTAACATTAAAACTTTACCTCACAAGAGGATCCTGTATATCCTTCAGTGCAGTTGCATAATTCTTGTGAACTGCTTCCGTGAGCTAACATACAAGAATTTGTGACTCCAGAACAATTGCAGGGCATGCACGATCCATTTGACAATAAAAAGTTACCGTCATCACACTGGTCACAGCTACTACCAGTATAACCATCCTATAAATATTAGAATGCATACTTACAATAATATTTTATTGCTAACATACGTAACAAATACAACTTCCATCAGAACTGCAATAGCCTCCTTCAGTAAAGCAAGAGCAGAGTTGACAGCCATCACTTGAGAAGTTCGTATGACCAGTCATACATTCAGAACATGTCCCGCCAGTGACATTAGGTTTGCAACTACAGTGTCAAGGTTAATGTCAATAATCTACAGTACTGCATGACTTACTAGCAGTCCCCAGTAGAAGAATTACAACTAATAGTACCAGTATCATTGCAAATGCATGGCTTTAAGAAGAGGGATTCATGATTAATCATAATAATCATAATGACTTACATAACAGCCCTCTGAAGGATCTCCATAGTGATTATCATCCATACACATATCACATTGCAGTCCTACCACATTGCTTTCACATTGGCATTGACCATCCTCCGCACATATGGTATTATTAACGCAACCACAAGCTACAAAGGATATATTTAATGAGCATTAATTGTCAACTAACCAATGCATTCAGTATTATTCAAGTAGTATGTATAAATGCATTTGTCACATTGACGTCCTACTTGCGATCCACAACTACACTGCCCACCTAACGCTTCACATGAGTATTCAGGAATACTACACTGGCATTCTATTAAAATACAATATGTAGTAACGTACTATACATCACTGCACTAACCTTGTAGTGATCCATGTAAGCTAAGACTTTGTTGTAAGGTAGAGCGAATGCAATATTCAGTGTTGTTATTAAAGCCACAATCGTTAAGAGTGTCATTAAATGCATCCGGTACAGCAGCAATGTAGTCCTATTAGGCAATAATAATTTTAATAGCATTAAAGCAACAATACCAAGAAAAAATGAGATCCTTCCAGTTGCGCCATGATATTTACTGAGCCAGACTCCAATCTCAAGCCAACACAATCAAAAGGATCAGCTTGAGCATAACAAGGAGTTTCTGTACAGCTACTGTCAATAAAGAATTGGACGGCACAATGTAGAGACCCTTGACTGATCATAGTTGGTATCCATGTAGAATGCTTTCTCCCATTTGTTGGACATAGATACCTCATGAAGAGATTATCAAAAGACGTGGTATCATTTACGATCATTGTCAATTGCAGCAACTGACTTTCATTAATCTATTTTAAAATAAATTATGCCAATATTGTATTGCTACATGTACATCTTACCATAAAATTAGAGATAGCATAACCTCGTTCAAAAAAATCAGGAAATTGCTGCTCATTATAGCCAAGACTGAGTTCACCAGATGGCTCCATCAGTAAGCCATTCTCTTCATTAGCTCCAACACTGTCTAAATCAGGCAGATAATATCCTGGCATAATAAATCCTGTGACTGTAACCTCAGCTACTTCAAATTGCTAATAATACAATATTTGTCGTTATTATTGTAAAAACGATAATTCTTACAGTTGCGTTATCTTGAAATCCATTAAAAACTAGATTGATATCTGAGCCACTGCTACCATTAACTGCTACTTGTACATGTGTCCCATCAATCTAAACAAAATGCACGCATTAATAATAATTGTACAGTTACAGAATCAATTTACCATTAACCCTTGGCATTGTCCTGAGCAATTGGTAACAAAAAGTCCCAGAAGGGCCCCAGAGTTTGAATTGACAACTCCAATAGATAGTGGAAGAGAACTTATGAAAACAATGTCAATTGATAATGTGAAGCCAGTAAAATCCTACAAATTATTAAAAATTATTTGAAACTATTTTAAAGAGCGGACTGGCTTACTATAGTTGACGACAAGGACAGTGATACAGGTTGAATATCTTCTTGGGTTACCCACCATGTTGAAAGCAAGCCATCGAGAACCGCATCCGGATACCCTTGGGCGGGGCTGCTAGAATTTGAGCTGGAGCTGTTAGAAGTTGCATTGCTGCTAGCAGAAAGATAATTTGTCAGCTCCAAAGGAACTTGTGCATTCGAGTAAAGCACACAGCATGCAAGGACTATAAGCAACAGAGAAGCCACTTTGTCCATCTTTTAGTGGGCGTTAGCGCGTCTCTTGAATTCAAGTACATTCATATCAATGGACCACACAGCATGCAAGCATAAACATACAAACACTCATAATTAGATTCATTATCAGCATCTTAAATTACAACAAGGTAAAGATTAAAGTATTTTTCTCCTGTTAGCAAAAGCATGTTCCCAGTAGCTATAAAATGTTTGACTAAATGAGAGCCATATCTGAAGGAATTCCTGAGAACTGATAGACTCTGTTTTATCTAGACCATAAAAGCGAACAACTTCTTTGAAAAGGCTTTCAGCCTCATTCAATTCATCATGAACACATTTTAAATCTTTAGAACCTGTACAAGAAATGTCAGCGTAACTAATGCATACTATAGTGTACGTGTGTTTTCTTACTTTCATCAACAAAAGCAGATATTTCTTTTTGAAAAGGATCTTTATTAGATATTTGCATGCAAATTTTTTTGCATGCTATAATGTAGATAAAAAAAGCAAATTAGACACATTAACCAGTTACTGTACTTTACCAACCTTCAATTTCTGATAAAAGTGTCTTGTACTTTGATTTGAGATCTGGATATGTAACAGAAGCTGCTGGCATAAGTAGATTAGGAACTGGTACAGGGTAATCATTCCCACTTATCTCCTAATGTATGCAAAATAATATAACTAATATTTTTCATCAAAACTTACTGGATGAGAATCTACATAGCTCTGAACAATGAATTTCAGAAGATTTGACGAGCCATCACAACTGCGGACATCTTTGAGCTCAGTGAGTATATCCAGTTTAAACCCTAAAGCATTACTTCTGCTTGAACTGTCAGCATTCATTTTGTTGCCCAACAACAATACCAAGGCTAGCACTTGACACAATTTATCATGTGGTCTACAAAGCAACTGTAAAAGATAATTAGTATAGACTACAATAGAATTATCAATTTTGAACCTCACCTTATAAGCACTATCAAGAGTATGTATTTGTTGCCTTAATGGTTGAAAATTTTCTTGAAAGTGTGAATGATGCTGCAAACATGTCACCTTTTCATAAAAATTCTCAATTGCAAATAATTTAAGTAAAAATCTGCTTATAATAATAATAATAATAATGATAAAAATAATATACACATTTTGTGTCACCTTTCAGGTTGCTCAAGACAGTCAGCAGGGCAAGACCTGAGTTTTTTTAGTTCATTTGATGTGATCTAGAAATAAAATTATAATTTACAGCAGTATTCGCAATTTAAAATTCAAGTACCATATTAGTTACTCTAGCTAGAGTATCAATATCTAATGAGCATTTTTTCAAATTTTTACATGACTCCATGATTTTATAAACTTCATCCAATGAAATATTTTTCATAAGGATTTGAAGTGCCTGAAACCTCTTGTCATTCAGTACTCTACAAGGAGATCTTCCGGGTGAAAGTGATCGAGACCTCCTAACTGTTGGGTCAGCTTTCTTTTGGAACAGCTTTTGGAACACCTCTTCATTGAAATTAACATGTTTCTGCTGCTCAGATACTTGTTGCCATATTGTCTTATTAGAGGAAGGGACTACTTTTTTCCAAAACAATGGCTTGAATGAGGGTCCCTTTGGGGACCGAAGTAAAGTTGGAGATGGCAATAAAGACTGGTCTGGAGCTAATAAAAGAGGAGGAAGTGGTGGAGGAGGACAAGATGCCTTTCTAGCCATTGTAGCACAGCAGCAGCAGCAGCAGCATGAAGAAGCCTTACAATTACAATCAAGGTGTCAAATAATTTTAAGTGTTATGTCACAACTAATTGCTATACACATGTTTACCATACACAATAAATTAACAGTCAGACTTTCACACCTAAGTGTTCTTTCTTGCTAATTCTTTCCATTGCAACTAAAAACAAAACAATTAACAATTTGCTGATTTTTCTGTCTTACCAGTTCAAGATCAGTGGGTGCTCTCGACAAAAAATCTAATATTTCATTATTAGGTATTTGTCTTTGCTTCCACAGTCTCTTAGTCATTTTGTACAAACCTAAAATGTGTATTATATATGCATAATAGCTAACTCTACACACTAACCCCAAATAAGTATAATGTAACGGAGTGGTACAAAGTAAGTCAAAACCATTGCCAAAAAACAAATCAATATTGCCATCCAGCATAAAAAAGGCACAGTCCAATGAAACAAACTACAACAGAAAAGAGGCATAGTCATTGTATTAATGTCATTATTACTTTTTTACTCTTTCGGATAAATCTACTACATAACCAGACATAATCTGTAATGTTAACAATATATCCTGAAACTGCCGGAAACGTTGACGCCAATTTACATGCTCCTATCATAGAATGACTTATGCAATAAATTTATCAATTCTTACTGATGGATCTTTAGTATGAGAATAATCTTCTAAATCAGAAAAGTCAGACTATATTTGTTCAAATTAAACACTTCATGAACAAGGACTTACTTCATTCTCTGAATTATCATCTACTTGTACTCTTTGATACGACTCTTTAAAGTAAGAGCTTTCATGCTTGATATAGACTTTAACATAGTACATTATAAAAACAACAGCAAGGAGTAAGAATATGATCCAAATTTCGGCCACTAAGCATGCCATAGTAAACACCTAATTAGTAAATAGAATTTTATAAAGCAAGTAGCACTCGCCCATGTATTCAAGTGAGTCTCATTGTTATGTATATGAATACTAACTATTGAAAGTGTCACAGTGTCACAGAGACACTTTCAATAGTTAGTATTCATATACATAACAATGGGTCACAATTAGTCAATAGAAATTTGGTGAAATTTATTAGCATTTACTTTCAAAATAGGTGTTAGCAAAAAGTAAATGTAAGAATCTTTATTGCCTATAGCAATTACAAGCATACATTAACTGTACAACATACCATTAAAGCCATTAAGCTCTGAACTGGATTCTGCCATGATAGCAACTCTTGAATATAATGATGAACCTGAACAACTGGGTGAATCAATTCAATGACCTTATGAATATTTCTTAATAGTAACTTCCTCTGAAATTTTGGCTCTTCTTCAAGTACTGGTACTTCTTTTGGTTTAAAAGTTTGCAATCCAGCACAAACCTTATTGCAAAAATAATTGTGATAGCATTATCAATTTAAGTTTTCCTTACAATGTTGTATACTAGATCACAATTAATAGTGATAGTGCCATGAGCTCGATTCAAGCAAGATTTTCCTTTCAAAACATACGTTTTGCTATGTCCAACTTGCAACTACAAATTGTATGCTTAATAATAGCAAGAAAATGAATGGCATATATATTTACCTTGAGTAGTGGTATCATTAGCTGGCCCAGCCATTCTTCCTTGCCTTTTCTCTCATTTATTACTTCAATGTGAACTATGTCATGAATATCTTTAATAGGACTGTAATAATGATGGAATAAGGGTAAGAACAAGCAATCAAAGCAGCATTACAATGAGAATGTTTTGTTCCAAATAGGATCAGCTGTATACGAAACTGCATGAGTTCTTAACTGAGCATTCCCTACTTCAATAGTTACAAATGATCGTATGTCTCTCTCTACACAAAATATACACTAAACAAACAAATTATCATTCATCCTTTACCATTATAGCTACAAAGATCAGCTCCTCTTTCAACTACAATAAATAATGCAACATGAGTATGTTTTAAAATATTAGAGTGTACTTGTTATGTGAAGGAGACCAATTTCCTTTGCAGACAACAGTTTCACAATATTTTGTAGTTGCTAGATAAAGAATAAGATCACAAAGTGAATTTTACACAACAAAAGTTGCAATTGTACAAACAATGGAAAGATATAAATAAATAAAAAAAGAAAAATTAAAATCTGTACAAGGAGAATCAACATCTTGTACTTTGTAAAATAGTTTTAAACAAAAATTGTTTTAGCTTGTAAATTACTGTTTTGGTAAGCCAAACCAAAAGTATACTCTTTGGTGACATAATGGTAATGTTTGTATGGTTAGTATTACATGAGTTGGTTATATTCTTTGAAGTTTATGTTTATTATTTTAGTGTTCGGAGTAGGACAAACTGTCGTTATAAGCAATATGCCATTAGTGAATATGCAACATTCTCAAAAAATGTGTCAATTTGTTTATAGTGAAAGCTTTTTTGAATGTATACATAAAGCACAATAATTAACAGCTCAATGCATAAAAATATGCTAATGAAAAAATTTTTATTATCTTTACTCACAAAATCAATTTTGGCTTGCTTCATCAGATTCCCTGACAAAACATCACTTTCTTCTTTACAAGATAATCCTGAGATGACAAGAAGTAAATGAAGCGTTCCTGATGATTCTCCTATAGGTAATCTCAAATCATGCTGAACATCTGGCTCATAATCACAGAGCTCAACTAAACACCTAAAATTATTCAAATAATTTTTACTTAAAATACACTAAAGTGGCATACTCTCCAATAAAATCATCAGCTGCTGGAAAATCTCTATCCCATACTTCAATAAATAAGCTTTGCTTCGATTGATCATCATAAAGCTTCATGTCAAACTTTTCCTTCCATTCCGGATTAAGGGTTTTAGGCTGAACCTAATTATGGTATTATAAAGCATAGTAATAATTGACTTTACCTTGGTTTTGTATTTTTGAGAACCAAGTTTAAACTTACAGTATGGATCACTAAAACCTTGCAAACACAAAAAGTTAATATCTATACTAATAAATGCGACATACCATTGCTATCCATAGCTGGCAAGTCAGTGGCACCAAGTACAGTCACAGTTAATATACTATTCCAACACTGAATTTTTTTCTAAAATTATTTGTTAAAACACTTGTGCATGGTCCCACTACATACTTTAGACTGCTGGAGTTTTTGTTGCTCATAAGCATGCTGCTCATGATACGTCATGTTTAATACTTTAATTTCCAACTGTAAATAACCTAGTTGTTCAGCGGGAGCCACTGGATCAGTTAATGATAATGTAATCACTTCCACTCTATAACAAATAGGCATAATAGCATCATAAAAATTTAGTATCAAGCACACAATTGTGCTGCTACTAAAATAATCAGTTCACATGTTAACTAGTTATGAAACAATCACAGTCAATGAGAATGCTAAGTACAGAGACTACAGACTGTCAAAAATACATAGTTATAGTGATTGCTAACTTTATTTACTTACTTATTATGTTCATATTTGTTCAAATGTATAGTCCCTTGGCCCATGAAATCATCACTAGACACAATGTCATGGTCATAGACTTTGACATTTAAAGGGAGTGACAGATCTTTGGTTTGAAAGATGAACTTTTCCATCCAATGAGGATTGAGGTTACGATAGATTACAGAGCTACGAGCTTTGTATCTCCCATGCTTGAGCTTAACATAAGGGTCACTTGTTCCTATAATGGCAAAATTAATTATGTTGGCAAGGCATAAATTTAATTACAAATTATTGGCAAGCAATGATTTTCTCAAAATTTTCTTCCTTTTTGTTATGGCATGCTGCGGGATGCTGACATGTTTTAACTGAACAAGCATTGATTCATGTACTGTACAATACTGTAGGATTATGTATCAGTGTCTACAGCATACAATACTACCTAACAAGAATTGGCACCATCAACAGTGTCTGCCAGGATGTTTACCTGTCACGTCCCTGACAGCAAGATTATGTCCAGAGATAAGTTTCAAATGGATCATATAGTTTTCCCCAGTAATATGCTTTGAAAATATTAAAAAATAATAATCTCAATACATCATCATTCCATTTCCATACTCTTACTTCAGCGGAGCCTGAGGTAGCAACAATTGGAGGTGATGATGGTGTCGGAGGCTCGCTTGCGCAGCGGTCTCTGTCCATTTCTTCCTCTGATTCAAATTCCAAAGGAACTTTAAGCATCTTATTTTTATGCTTTGCTCTCCAGCTTCTAAAGCGACTCATTTTGATGATGATATCTATGATAGCAGTCCTCGCTCTACCCTCGAACAATCTCTGCAGCTAGGTGACCACGCCTTCTCTCCGCCTACTAATGGTTCACGTGTAATTTGTAAATAGGGTCTTGGCAGAATGGACTTGTTAAACGTTCACACCGCCCTTCGTTTTGCTTGCAGTCAAGATCCAAATGAATTAAAAGTTGGAGAGGAACAGTTAAAAGCCTGGCAGAAGGATAAAGGCTATTATGCGGGATTAGCTGTAAGATTAATATGACCTATTTTTCTCCCACCTCCTCCTCTCTTTTTGTCTCCCCCTCCCCATTTTCCTGTTTGTTTCTCTCTGCATTGATTTCCTTTTTCTCTCAAAGACTGTGTTTGGTGATCATAGTGTTGATTCTACTGTGCGATGGATGGCAATTACATGCTTAAAGAATGGAGTCGATACTTATTGGCGTCCTACTGCACCTAAGTAAGGAAATCATTTACTTGTAATGCTGAACCAATGCCAGACAATAAGTTGCCATCAATAATACATACATGTACTAATATTGATGACCAAATCATTTGTCATTTGACTCATTTGTACTTTACTTTTGAAGTTTAAAAATGAAAACCAATACCGTAGGCCACGTTTTGATTGCGAGTCTGGAATATATCTCACAATGAAAGGAATCACACTTAAAGAGCTACATAATTAATAACAATTAATAAACGCCACACCTATCAATCATTTTCTCTACACGTGTTTCATTTACAGCATCACGAGTGGTATCTTGTGATATTTTCAGGCCAAATTACCTCATCTAGTCAAGTCCCAATGCCACCTAACATCTTAAAGGAAGCTAATCAAGCTGTGGCAGTAGCTTTAGATGGCAAAGGAGAGAAACAAGACAATTAATTAACTTGTGAGTGTCGCTCGAATGTAGCTAGGCAGCTAGCATCTCGTAATTGTTGGAAACTCAAGCTAGTTAATTTTCTAATTTGCAATCTATTAAATGTGCAATCAAAACCTGGCCTATAGTATTATCTTACACATGTCATTCTTGTTGCAATCACATATTACATTTATGTTTCTGTTGTTAGTGCTATAGACCCAGAGGAGAAGTCTCTGATACGAAAAGTATTGCTAGAGAGTATTGAAGAGCCAGAGCAAAAGGTATGCACTCCATTAAGAATAATGCTGGTCATATACTTATCATTATTATTGTAGATATCATTACAGTTAGCTGTGCTTATAGCTAAGATTGGACGAATGGACTGTCCTCATGAGTGGCCTGAACTTCTACCTGTCCTGACTGAAGTTAGACATACATGTACATACTACATGTACTGATTTAAATTTGGACTTTGGGGTACATGTACATAGTTATTTGTCTTTCAATGTATGTAAATAAAATATAGCTTATCTTTGTTTAATTGTTGTTAAGGGTTGCATTATACATGTACTTAAGGGCTCATATTTGGCAATATCTGTACATGAAAATGAAGGTTTTGTGTTGATATCTGATATGCAGATAATCAAGTGATTCAGTATGCATTGTGTATTTTGTATTGCGTTAAAGTGGCTGTATTGTTAGCCACATGAATACTTCTTTACTATGTTGTCTTTCAGAAAGTAAGGAGTGAATCACCTCTAGTTCAGAGATGTGGTCTCCTGACATTGAAAGAGGTTACTAAGGCATTTAGTTCATGGAGGCTATCCGAGCAAAGACTAATTTTCTTTGAAGTTTGTGCATTCATGTACATGTACAAATGCAGGTTTAAATTATCTTATGTCTTTTCTTCAGGTGACAAGTTCCATTTTTTCTTATACAACAAACGTATGGTTTACTCACCTGACATCAGTCAGTGGGTACATTACACAAGGAAAGCTTGACAATGCTACCAGTTCACTTACATTAGCAACTACATGTTTAAAGAGTAAGGATCATTATTATTGTATAGGGCGTTTCTAATCATGAGTGTAGTATTGCAGTTGATGTTGCTTCATGGGTTTGCTCGATTTAATGCTGATTCTGATGCAGTTCAGTTGGTTGGATATCTCTTTGAATTGGCACCGCAAGCTCTTGAACTTAGTTAGTGGGATATATTTTTTCTTAAATAAATTGATGTGATGTGTGTAACATGCAGGATCTCAGTTACCACAAGATCATTCTTCTTTTGAAGCAGCAGAAGAAACTACTACAATGATTATTAAAACTGTAAGTGGATTATTTAATTGTATGTGTAGCTTTATTCACTAATAACAATGAATTGTGATTGTCCTTGTCACTGTAACTGCTATGTATTGTGCTACTTAAAAGTTTATAAATCCACGGACTGTTACTGTTGTTTTTGGGAGTACTGCATATGCCAATAACCTGATCCATCCTTTAATTCCTTTTTTATCTAAAATTTTAATTGTTAGAGTAGAATTGCATCACAAGAGTAGGATTTTTATTTTGTTTTTTTGTTGGTCATTTGGAATCCTACTTGCATTACTTTTTTGGCGAATTACTACTTCATCTTTTTTGAATTTTTTTAGTTTAGCGATTTTGGCCAAATTTTATTAAAAATGAAAAGTAGAGATTTATCCATTTTGTATTTTTTCTGATACATGTACATATGCATCTGCTTATGCTGTTTAGAAAGTTTGAGCCAATTCCAATCAAGTTCGGATTTTTATTTAAAAGTTACTCCAAATGCCATGTACTCTATTGTAGTGCTTGTCCATTCATAAAGCTTATTCACTTTAATCACTTACCATGCTTTGTGGGTAGGACATGTTATTATGTTAAATTGCATGCTTTTGATAAATTTCAAAATCATGTTGTTCAGACAAAATGGTAGAACAACACAGAATTTGGTCATAAATTTGGTCAGAAAATGTCCAATATCTAACTGTTATTTCAGGCCCTGTACAGGTTCATGTACATGTAGCATGCATTATTGTTATTATGATTGTGAGTTGTAATGAATGATGTACATTGTACATGTACATGTATGCTATACATACATGTACATGTACATGTATGCTATACATACATGTACATGTATGTGTTTAGTATTAAAGATTATTCTTCTATGCAGTTATTCAAGCTACAAAGGAACCATCCTATTGGATATATAGCCTTTCTTGACCAAACATTAGAACTTATTTATATGACAATATTTAATCTTGAAAAAAGAGGTTAGTATGAGTAATAACAATTAATGTACCATCTATTGAGGCCTCTTATACATGTAGTTCTGTTGTATGAGAAATACACTGTCTATGGACTGAACATGTTGAAGTGCATACTGAAATGTGAAGACTATGCTATACCTTCAGCAAGAGGGACAGGGGAAGGTTTGTCTGATTAATTCTTAAACTAATAATTTGACTCAGTGGTATAGTCTTTGTACCTGTGCAAGTACTTCAAGCTCAAAAAAGTCTTAGCGATTTCTTTAATGATGAGAGATTAAGGATGATATTGGAACAGATAGTAACTAATTTTATGTTACTAACGTCTGAGGTATTAAAATAGGAGAGAAAGAGAGGCAGAAGTTGTAATAGACTTCAGACTTGTATAGTTTATCATTTATTAGGATATAGAGATGTGGAACGAATCTCCTGAAGAATACTTTGCAAATAATTGTAAGTTGAATGAGTTACTTCTTAATGTAGCATTTGTGTATTACAGATGATGAAGGGCTTGGACAGTCTTATGCATTATCATTAAAGGTAATTGAAACAAAGTGTGAATGTGCCTATATTAGTATTCATAGGGAAGTGTTGAAGGTGCTTTGATGGCAGTTCTTCACACTATGCCATCTGCTGGTGCTCCAATAATCACAAGAATGATTGAAGCTGTTCAGAGTAAGTACCGTATAGCGCTTTATTTTTGAGGAGCTAAACTTTCACTATTTTCGCGGTTAGCATGAAACCGCAAAATTAAAGATCCGCTAAAATTTCAATTGCCATCAAAGATGTGGCACTAACATTGCGAATCCGCAAAAATTATTTCCACGAAAAATTGATTTTTGTCAATCCGCGAAATTTTAGCTCCGCAAAATTAAAGCGCTATACGGTAATTCTGTTCATGCAAATGCATGTGTATGTACTACATTGTATGTACACCTGAAATGTATGTAAAACACATACCTTAAAGCCACTTATTTTTAAGTAGACAAATTTTTGCAATTTGTTATTGATTTAACGTGTACTAATTTTTTTGCGATTTTGCTCATTTTTTCAATTAATAACTATTAATAAACGTAAATTATTAATAAATGCGAGTAGTAATTTTTGCGATTTTAAAGCCACTTGCAAAAACGCAAAAAAATTAGTACTCGCAAATAATAGTGGCCTTAAGGTGCATAATCATTATTGTCATTTATTATACATTTGTTTGTAGATACTGATAATTCTGCTGAGTGGTCAGCATTGTTAATGAAAGAAGCTGGTAAGGACACTCTTCACTCCGCTTTATTACTCCTCCTGTATCCTTCACTTCTTATACTATCTCATACCCTCTTCCTCATTATTTAGTCTATAATGCTGTTGGACTAGTAGCATTCGACTTGTATCAGTACATGGATTTCGAATTGTGGTTTCAGACTCATCTCATTAAAGACTTATCAGTATCAGACAAAAGGTACATGTACTATACATGTATTTTATTACTGCATGTACATACGGTATAGCAGGCTTATTTCGAGGATAATAAATTTCACAAATGACCCATATCTGGAAGTTTGCGGAATTAATTTTTGCAAATTTCCACTATTCTGCCATCTTGTACCGTATTAAATTGATTTTCAAGGAATTTAATTTCGCAAATTTTGAAAAATTCGCAAAATTCACAAAATTTGTTATCCTCAAAATAAACCCGCTATGCAGTATATTATTATTTTGTTGTTGTTGTAGGTATCATATCATTAAAAGACGAGTGCTATGGTTGTTAGGGTGTTGGGTTGGAGTTAAATTTGATGCAGTGTATCATCCTACTCTATACCAATGCATCATTAATAATTTGGGACCAAATGAAAATGTTCTTGTAAGTTCTTTGTTTTTTTTTATAATATCATACTGTGCATATACATGTACATGTACATTTATGTACTGTGAATTCAGCAATCAAATTGGAGTCAATATAAGTGTTTTTATTTTTAAGCAATGGAATCACTATCAGATTCAAAATACCTACATGTAATTTTGAAGCATGAAATGTTAATTAGGCAATTAATAAAAATTGGGAATGTCTCGTAGCTGTTTGGGATGAAGCATCATACATGTACATGTAATACTGTATAGTGGGAAATTTTGGAGGGACTAAAATTTGGTGAATTGCTAGACTTTTGTGATTGGTGGGTTTTTAATTTGGGGAATGGCTATCAACAACACCGAATTGACCAAATTTAATCCCCTCCAAAATTTCCCGCTATATGGTATTAATTTATTGTCTCTATTAGGTGAGACTTGCTGCAGTGGACACTCTTAAACAATGTGAGGTTTAGAAATGCATATTGCAAATGAGTCTTTTTTTTATTATAGCTATTGAAGATATTTCATTTAGTTCTGAACCCATTTCAACGGTATGCTACATGTTTAGATGCATTGTCTTATCAATGTTGTGTTTAGTTTATTCCTAGTATCACAGAGTGTTTATTGGTTCTATTGAGACAGTTGGAAAGTCCTGAGACCAAAGTAATAACAGAGTGATCTTTATCTTACTATTGATAATGTATACGACACAATAGCAACATTTTCTTCTCTCCTTTTAGTGTATTTGTCATTTCTAGTCTTTTTTTGGCCCAGGGTTTCATAGACCAATCATTCAATGTCTCAACCTGCATGTACATTGTTTATACTGCCCTTTTGTCTGTTACACATATATTTATATGTACATGTACATGTATGTATAGCCAATGTACATGTATGTATAGCCAATGTACATGTATGTACATTATATGTACAGCCATTGATTCTGAGTAATATGGTACAATGTAATGGCTTTACTGCTATATTTGAAAATTTATATACATGTACATGTACAGTCTTCACTTGCTTATTGGAGAAAAGGTGTTTGTGACTATACTCTTGTGTGTTGTTAAAGTGCTTTACACATTATAATTGTTACAATACATACATGTAATTTGTTGTTCTTATACATACATACATACATGTAGTTTGCATTTTTTTAAATGTTGATATCGCAGTATCAATGATGCTTTTTATTATGGTTTGATTTTTCATTTATAGTTACTGGTAATGAACACGTTTTGTGTCTTAATTGAGCGAGTTGGGACAGATATACAGCCTTATGTTGGATCACTGTTGGAGCTAATACCACACATGTGGGTCGAGACGCAAGGAGATAACTCCAGTCTTTTACGATCAGTCATCATTACAACACTCTCTCACACTGTGTGCTCTCTGGGCCACTTTTCATCCCAGCTTCATCCTTTCCTGATACATGTTATAAATGGAGCTACTGATACAAAACAGGTACAATCCTTTTACTTGTTGTCATACAGTAGTTCTGCCTATGGTGGTCGGGGGTGGTCGGGACAACCACCTCAACAAATGAACCAACCAGTTCATCACTTAGACCAACCATGCAATTTATATTAACAACCACACATAAAGCATAACACTCTAGTCAACTAGTACAGTGTACACCAATTTAAAAGGAACAATATTAGTTTCCAACCGCCTCTAATTTTATTCTAGGCAGAACTCTGTGTTATGTATTTTTGTGAGCACTATGCTGCTATTGCTGCACCATATTATGTAATAGAAAATTTAATGTATTTTGATGAGAACATACGCGTAGGATCAGTTGTTATATTCATTACTCTTGAATATAATTAATTCCTTTCATACAAAATGCAATCTGTGCAGTGTGACAATTCCCCTTTTGGTATATTGCTCATAAATATTGTTGAGCATTGCTTAGTTTTAGTTCTGCTTCTATGATGCTGAGGGCAATTTTTGTCTTGTCTCTGTTATTCTTTGCTAATGGGGCCAGTGAATGCTTATACACACTGAATTATACACACTGAAGCTGACAGATAAGAAAGCCTCAGAGCTCAAGGATCAAGATAATAAACTATGGAGTTTGAGATTACCTTTCTCTTCTTGTTCTATATCCATCTATGATGTGCTTTACAGAAGGAATGGAGAGAGTGGTAGCATATCAGTATTGATGAATAATCAATTGCTGGCCTATATGCAGACTCCTAACACAAGCCATAGTGATAAGTTGTATGAAAATAGTGGAAGGATTGGTACAGCTTTCCAGCAGTTATCTGACAACCAAGAGTTGACTCTAATAACAAATTCCATTGAAGTATTGAGGATAACACTACACATTGATTGCTTAGGAAGAGACCCTGGTCCAGTTTGTTCACATTTTTCATCTAAATCATACACAATGCCTACAACTGATGAGAATGATCCTGCTGCTGCAAAAAAGGATTGGACTAATATTTATGTAGTGCTAAGCATAATCACTGCTGTCTTTCTCATTTTAATTGTTTTAGTCATTTTAGCACTTTTAAAGTGCGATTGTTGTGGGACTGATGTAGTTAGTGATGTTGCAAAAAATGATGTTGTATGATGTAATCTTCCTTTGAATAAAAAAATATTGTTTTCTCTGAATAATGCTAATGATGCATAATGAGTTGTTTTGGGCTCACAGAAGATGAATTTAATGAATTAGTTCATTATGCTGTTATATGATATTATTCATGATGCTGACATGGTCTTATATGCATGGTCTTATATGCAGTGCTTGGCTTGTTGTTGCCTGATAATGATAGAAATGATGCCTTTATGTTGAGTGTTGTATTGCCTTCAAGGCCTTCAAGGCCTTCACACATGAGCCTACTTGCTGCTAGCAACACAGGGGCATCACTGGCCTTGAAAGATTGGTAGGGCCATACAGAAGAAGGACTTTTTTCACATGCAAAAAATTTGCCTTATCTAATTAATATTTATGATGGGTGTGGTCAACTTGGGTCAATTAATTGATTAATTAATAATGATAGTGATTTTTGTCGCCCAAAATTTATATGGCATTCATTTCCAGCAATAAATTGCTTAACTACCGACTGTATTTCTACATTATGAGTTAGTTGTTGGTGTGTGTGAAGAAGTAAGTACTAAGCAGTGATTGAGTCTTTCCTGGCAGTTATTAAATGAATTAACTTAAATTAATAACTAATTTTAATAAAAATGGCTACTGATCTTCAAAACATTGGTGGAGCAACTGCCCTACCTGCCCCTTAGGCAGTGACGCCTCTGCAACATTTGTGGCTATTGTTGCTAGCAACAGGTTGAAGTCCTTGAGAGTGATCTTGCAATTATTCTTATACCGTATAGCATTTTTTCAAGGATAATTTTTGCGATGACCTATATCCAGAAATTTGCGAAATCGATTTTTGCAAATTGCCGCCTTTCTGCTATCTTGTACCATATTAAATTGATTTTCAAGGAATTTAATGTTGTGAATCTTAAAAGACCTGTGGAATTCTTCTCAAAGAGTATCCAATAAAGGATCAACAATACAGTAATGAGGGTCTGCTTCATTGAAAAAAATCGTTATGTCTTTTATTTGGTTCCATGTAATGTGAATATTAGTTTTGAGAGCATTAAATATTGTACAATACGTTGCAACCAGAAATACTTTTAAACTTATTTGTATTGTAAAAGTTGGGAAATTTTCAGTCTTGTTTCATGCCATTCCACTTTTTGCTGTGATGTATAATTGCACCTCAGTCTTGTGTTTAATGAACCACTTGTTATAATTATATTTTTTCCCTTCATATAGCCTGAGCACTTGTTTTTAGCTGAAGATGGTCTGCAGTTGTGGTAATTGACGATGTTGATGTGATGATATATGAATAATGACTTCATCTCCATAGGAAGTCAGTGTTACACCATGCTCCTCAACCAACACTTGAATTGGCATCATTAATACAGAACATGTCAGGACTCCTTGGCTTAGCTTCACCTTCAGATGATTCCACTCGTTCCTTGGAGGGTCTCATGGGTCAGTGGAATGCCTTTTTAAATATGTGTTATTTTTTATATTGATGTAGATATTGGTTCTAGTAACTTGTTGGTGTGTTTCTATATCATTAAAGCTTATGTGATTCTATTCTCTCAGTCTCCTGATATATTTATGCAGGTTAGTTCTGTGGCACCAGCACTAATATTAATACATGTATGTGTGTGTATAGCATGACTGAATGCTAGTGTTATTTGACATATATTTGCTATATTTCTCATCTGGGCTTAATTTTGCTGAACAAAAAAATCCAAATACAAAATGGCAGCTCGGAATGAAAGCAAAATTTTTTCATGTTTTAGAGCAAAAATTTTTATATGATGGAATATGCCTTTTATGCAGTGTAATTTTAATAATATTAATTATTTTACTTCGTTTTCTTTTTTTTATAGTATTGCAGTGAGGTTACTGTCAAAGCTTGTCAGACTTACATTAGAGATGTAAAGCAAAGTGGGGTTGATGCTATTGTTGATGTGAGTGCTCTCTTTTCAATGTGTTCCAATTATACTTATTGCTAGGTTCTTGATTTTGTAATGGTAGCCTATCCAACTAATAGTCATCAACTCCTGGAGCCAGTTCTCTTACAGTTATTACACTGTGTCCTTAGTGGAGAAGAAGTACGTAAGTTATTGCAGGGTTTCCCACAAAGCATGTTAAGTGAGCTAAAGAGCATTCCTCATGAGCTGAGAAATACTACATGTACGTGGCATTTGCTGCAACTTTTAAAATCCATAAATATTCAATTTTTATCAAAATCAGCTCAAAGTTGATACATAGCCTAAGGAGGACATGTATATGTATCAGAAAAAAATAAAGAATTCTCTTTTTGTGATTTTGTCAAGGGTCTTTGGCTCAATTTTTGTCCAACATAACTACATGTATCTACTGACAAGAGCTGCACGACTACTGTGGGAAACCCTGAGTTATTGTTCACTAATAATTAAAATGCTGTTAGTATCGCTAATTAGTAAGCTTTGCCTTTAAAACTGTATTTATTATTATTATTATTATTATTATTATTATTATTATTATTATTATTATTATTATTATTATTGTTATTTGCTTATTAAATATTGTTATTATTGTAGACATATGCGCCAACTCTCTGCTTGTATTTGGCTGTTTTAGCTCGTGCCATGTTATGTAATCCACAGCATTTTCTTATTTTACTTCAGTCTCTTGTGCAGCAACTACAGCAAGAGGTAACATAACATTACCTATTGATGTTTCATTATTGATGCTGTATAGGCAAATGTATTGCTGGGAACACTATTGGATATATGGGCCTATAGAGTAAGTCTAAGTTAATGACCGTGTCATAATTGTGATCCTGTAGTTAGACAATATTGGAGAAATCAAAAGAAGAAAGCTATTTGGTTTAGCTGCAGCTTCTTTATTAACTGTAAACGACTCGTAAGTGCTATACTAATGGGTAAGCATTCCACTGTATTCTTTATAGTTGTGTGTTGGGTCGATTTGGGTCACTGTTGGATATGTGTGTTGAAGTCCTTCATGATGTGACTGATACGAGTACTACTGGTGGACTCACAGAGTGAGTGTACTGGGTTTTATTCATATTACAAAGACTGGTGGTCTACTTTTAGCTGTTTAGTATTACAAGGTGAAGGTAGCCATCAGTTTGCCAGCCCTCATAAGCCTCACCCATCAACTGAGAGTGAACATGACAAGAGAGTTAGACAGGTAACATTTTATTCATTTAAATACCGGAAAGTTTTGTGGCCAAAACTTTTAATGGTTTTTGTGGACATCACAAAATACATGTACCTACAGGTTAATGAGGAGTGTGGGTGCTTTACTGATGATCGATGAAAATTAAAAAGGCACAAAAGTTTTTTGCCACGAAACTTTCTGGCCATATGGTACATGTGTAACTATAATAATAATTGATTTGTTTAGGTCAATAAAATGGATCCTGTATGGACAGTATCCTTACCACAGCTCTTAGCAACCCAGTTAGAGGTGTGTCTTAGTACACTAGGAATGGCTCAATATCGGAGCCTCATTTCTGATGTTGATGTGGTCGTTCGTGAACAAATGACAGATTTTTTACCGCCAGATAGAGTCAACATTCTTTTAGTTTTTGACATGTAATAATCAGTTTGTATTAATTTATTTCATTTCTATACATGTTTGTATGTGTCCTAAATTATCTTAAAAACTTAAAATTTTGCTGTGCAATGATAATAACAATTAAGTTAAATACTATTAATTTTCCATACTATAGTAATTAATAATAATAATTACATAGGTATTAATGAACTAAAATCATTTTCTATTATTATCCTTTAATCTTTCCCATTGTTGGATCCCCCTCCATACTATCACTAGGAACAAGCCATACAATGAGTATTGCAGCAACACTGAGGAGAATCCTTTATAGAATCCAGTGAACCCTTCAGCCTCCCATATCCCTTGAGCACAGTCAATGGGTCCTGTGTAAAATGTAGTCACAAAATTAACACTAATGCCTGTCTCAACGTTTTCCACTAATACGGGTAGCCCCTGTAGGTGTAGTCGTAATACAATAGTTCTTAAAGGATACGTGACCATATCAACTACAAACGAGCTGATGTAAGAGGCCCAGAGTTGTTTCAAGAGACTACGAGGTGAGAGGTGATGGGATTTTGAAGACTGGACCCTCTTTAGTGGAGGAAACTGAGTGACTAGTTTTAATACTTGCTCTCTTAAAATGTCACAGAACACGCTAGTTACAACAGTAGGCACTACTAGCTGTAGGAAGGAGAGTCTTTTACTGGGGTCATTACTTATCAGCAATGGTCGCTCTAGTGTGAATTCTCTGAAACCATAATAGTCAGGCTGGTATGTCCTTTGCTGTGTATTCTGGAAAAAATAAAAGCAAAATTATAGTTACAATAAATTTACTACACTCAACATAGCAGGCATACATAAATACCACTTAGTACAATTAACAAGTCAGTTAAAATTAAACAATTTTATTTTTTCAACTTACTTGAACAGATTCCATCAAAATAAAAGAAGTTAATGGCAAGCACACTGTGTATGATAATCTGCAAAGACACAACATGACATATGCATTAGTGGTACTAGTATCCATACTTACCCATTAACAACAAGACAAATGAGGTAAGACCTTAGTCTGCTCCATGTCACAGAAACCCTAAATACATACATACGCATGTATGTCAAAAATAATTTATTAATTATCTTACTTTCTGCTCCGACTCTTTCTTTCAGCAATCCAAGTAAGAGCAGCTGCAGCAAATGGTCGCCCTAAGAGACAAATGACACTAGCCTTGAAACCACGCCACCAACTTAAGAGTCCCTATTAACATTAGGCATCAATACACGATTATTTCTAATTAACAATATGCCATTGCTTAAATTATCTGACATTGATTCAGGTGAGGTCATTTCTAATTGATATGTACATGTACATGGACAAAAAAGTCATGGTTTGTAATACAATGCTAAATACAACACTGATCAGTTCACTGTAACACAATACTGTTTCTCTCAATATTATACAAATAGCACATTTTGTAGACAGCAGGTAAAATTCTAATTAATGTTAAGGCACTAACCTGTGAACTTGTAATCTTGTTCATGACATACAGTGTCATCCCAGGGGCAGCATACAATGGACCTACTGCATAATATGGAATCGCCTATGGAACAAAAATAAAATGAAATAAAAATTCATACTGTAAATAAATATACTGTGCATTTTGTAAAACATCGAAAATTTTATAAATAGAGTAGAATAATAGGTACAATCCACCAAATCATTAGCCCACAAAACAGACTAACATTGATTCTTTAATAGTTTCACTTTCAGGATTTTTGCATACAGCTTCTTATCAGTAAATTGTTAAGTTGCTCAAAAATTGAGTCATAATATCTATGCTAATTGCTATAATAGTATAGGGAATTTTGACAAAAATCACAATGACAGAATTCTCCATTTTTATACTTCAGTCAAATTTCATCAAAAAGGGCTAGGAAAGAATTCTTGATTTTTATAATTTCTTCCAATACATATACATGTACTTATGTTGTGTAGAAAATTTAAGCTAATTCCAATTAAAACTTGATTTTCTATGAATTTTAAAGTTGCTCCAAATGCAATGTATAGTATTGTAGAGCTTAGGCTAAGTACACTATAACAGTCTCATTAGCATTTTAAATTATAAATTCATTTTACATATTGCAATATGATATATATACCTGACACTGGCGACTGAATACAGTAAATGGATATGTCACACAACTGTGAAGTAAGAACCTGCAATAGAATACAAAAGGGTTAACAATATTCACACTTTGTTGGTTACTTTAGTAACAATTATACATACTTAGCTCCAAATATTATGTGATCCACACCTACATGTACAAACAAGAGGATAACAAAATAATGAGTAAACAATACTTGGTAATTATATACCGTATAGCGAGAAATTATCATAGCCCAAAGATGTTACAAAATCATCCAAAAAATCTATTTTATGGTTTTAATTTTCACAATCTTCTGCCTTTTGGCTATGTTGAACTGTATTAAATTGATCTTTGTAGATTTTATTTTTGTGAATTTTGAATAAAGAGCGATATTCCCAAAAATTGTCAGCCACAAAAGATTCTAGCTATATGGTAATATGTATAGTAAATGCATACATGACATACTAATCTTTTCTTCGATTCTATCAAGAGTCACGTGTCGTCCTGACGATGATTTAACATCAACAGGTGAGGATTCCCTTCCATGAGCCTCAACTGCCCCAGTGGAGTAAATCTGAGCTGCTGGAGGATATGCATGACGGTCCCATGCTGGGGTCAGTGGTATTTCACTTGATACTGGTAATGGCTGTATCCTAGACTATACAATGGTGCCTTATCAACACACAGGCATGCTTAACGGATACAAATACCTGGTATGGGACACTAGAGAGCCGTGGTGATGTTCCTCTGTACTGATGAGATCCTTCATTCTGTAATTTTATAGTCATTTAGTACATAATTCCCTCATTTCTCACCCTAATTCCTCCTGACCTCCAGTTGTCCATTTTCTTTAGTGGGCGTGGCTTGATGTATGCGCATTAATTAGAACAATATGCTCCAGTGTTGCAAAAGACTATTTGAGACTCAGGGAATCCCTTCACTGTTACTGTACAGGTCGATAAGACTACCACCACTCTTGTCTGCACTTCCTAGAGTGCCATTAATCAGTTTTCCTGCAAGAAAAGGACCAGATGGAAAACGTATGTAATAATTAAAATGGGTTTGCATCATGAGTATTGTCTTGTAGCATTAATAACCCTGAGTCTGGATAATCTAGTCAAAGGAAGTAGTGGTCATACTCAAGTAAAGTCATTGAATTATGCTGATCTATCTGTTGGGTATGGCCGAGCACCATTTACTGTAGAAGAGATGGATGCTATTAATGTGAGTCTATACTGGCACACACACACACACATGCATTACTGATTGCTGTAAGGCAGGTAATTTTTGAGGACTAAAATTTTACATTTTCCTATAATTTGTGTGAAATATACAATATATATACTTACAATTAAAGAGTTCTGATCAAAAAATATTCTACAAAGTTTGAAGTAAATTTTCTTGTCTTCTCTAACGAAGCTGAAGAAGGATTAGTAATATACTCTACTATAATGCTTGTTTTCGTTTTTAAATGCTGTTTTCTCAAAATACACTAAAAACATTAATTTTTTGCCCGATTTACCAGAGCTTTTCAAATATAGCTGATTTTTTTGGGTTTTGGTGTCTGAGGCACTATAACATCCTAAATTATTTTGTGAAAACCAATTAATTTTTTTTCTTTCAGAGTGGTGGTGCTGTTGACTGTTATACTTAAAGGACATCAGAAACTTATATTGAACACTATTTTATCATCACAGTCTATGCTAGAAAAATCATTAGTAATAGATTTATTCAGGCAATAGCCTACATTATTGATTTTTGAAGATTGCAACCATTTTTGTAGTTTTGAAATGCTTATAATTATAACTTGGTTATGTTTTAATCTCTTATGACTGGTTTAGGTGAGTTCTCCTTTCATATGTGATCTTTCTAATACCTTTTGGTTGACTAAGAGTATAATGGAAACCATGTTTCCCACAGAATTTTGACATAGTGCTCATGCAGCTTCTTATCAGTAGATTGTCATGTTGGGTCAAAGACCCTGTATATTTAAATAATTTTTCTGGTACATATACCGGTACATATCCTTATATAATGTGTAGTGTGTATCAACTTTGAGCTGATTCCAATCAAGTTTGGATTGTTTAGTAATTTTCCTAGGAGAGAATTCTCTTTTTTTATAGTTGTGTCTGATACATAAAGCGTGTACATGTGTAGAAAATTTCAGCTGATTTTGATCAAAAATGCCACATGCTGTATTTTATTATAGCTTTTGAGTTCATGAAGCATGCTTTGTGGAAAACCCTGAATGGAAATAATTAGCCTTTCAACTTACTAAATTATGGTTGATAAAGTATGATAGACAGGGTAACAGAAGTATATAAATAAGATTGAAGGTAAGACTTACAATGTAGAGAAATTTAAACATCCTAGAAATTTCTAATTTGATGTGCAGTAATACTTCAACTAAGACAATCTACAAAACAGTTTTCTTTTAGTTCAACTTGAGCACGTCATTTCGGATAACTCTATCATGGACTAACATGCCTCTGTAAAAGCATACATGTAGCTATATGAGAATCATGATCCTAACTGCTTCCAATATTATAATAATGACTGTATGCATTGTTTGCATACACCACATATTGAATTCATGTATTATTATTATTAAAATTTTTCTGAGCAGAGATTTTGTATCATTTTAAATGCCTAATTTTTTATATTTGAACCTATAGTTCTAATGTATATTCAATTTGTTAGGAATTAAACATAACTGTTGCACAGTTGACAATAATTTATAAGTAAAAATATTTTTAAGTAGCAAAAAATACAACTAAAATTATGACAAAAAACAAATTAAAAAGCAAAATTATTTGATTCAGTTGAGAGTTAACTAATACAATGAAAAATTTAGATAGTTTTTAAGAAAAAAATAATTATAACTCGAGTCCTCTAAAACTAATATATCTAACAATTAATTAAAATAGCCTCTGTATCAATTTTATCAACTTCTGAGCATTATTGACAACACTTAATACCTCATCATCTTTAGTATAATAACAATAAATGTCAACTGGGGCCACTGAGGGATAATGTTGATTAGGATAGCGTGTTTTGAGATAATATTGCTCCGTTTCAATTGTATACACTAATGATGGTAGTTCTGCCCAATCCCCACCTTTCATTCCAGCAATAGCATAAGCATGAGTAAGTAGCTCATGTGATTTAAGATAGGCATCATTTAATCCTACTAGTTCATACATGCCTGCTTTCAATGCTTTTTCACAAGTCTCATGACACAGAAATAATACTTGACATTGCACTCCTTCATTCTGGTTTAGAATAAGCATAGCTTTTAAATCACATTCTGCCTGTTTCAGCCAGTATCCAGCTTTTATTGGATCTGCTTGTGGCTGTGAAATACCATGTCCAAAGCTTTGGTTATTCCTTGGATATGAATTTCCACTTGCATTTCTACTTCTTTGCCGTCTTCTTCTCAAACCCTCATCCCATTCATCAAAATGTCTTGACCAATGTGAATGTGTGTATCTTTGTGATGATGTCTCTGATGATGATGTTGGTGGTAAATCTGGGTCTTCCAATGGTCTTCCATTTTCTAAATTTTCAATTTGCTGCTTCAAGAATTTAAATGCTTCATCATACATGTTGGCTTCAGAATCATTTAAGTTTCTCTTGTCAGGGTGGTACTTTAAATAAAGTCGTTTTATTGCTTTTCTTTTCTGATCTTCATTTTGTAGCATCCAGATAAACTTCAAGTCTTGGATGATTTGTTTCTTCAACTCTAACAGACTATAAGAATCTGTGAGTCTTCTAACTTGAGCAGAAGCACTATCAAACTCCAGCAACACTAGTTCTTGACTCTCATTTTCTTCTAAAGAGTGTCCACTCACTTTCATTAGCTTATAAAGGTCAAGGGTTGATACTTCCTTCCTATTGCCTTCACTGTCAATTGCAATCACATATCTTCTTTCTAGGGGGTTGAATGATTCTTGTGCAACTGCATACAGAACAATTACATAGATGAAATTGCCATATTCATTCTCATATCCAACCCATTCCTCAGGATGGAAAATGTGATTCATGTCATTTTCCAGCAGATCAATGAGTTCATTTGGTATTTCTCCTCCAAGAGTTGCAGCATTACTCTGAATGGGAAGAATTATGTCATTAATACCATGAGCGTCAATCTGTAGTTTCTCTAAAATTGGTATTAAATCTTCAATACATTGTGCTCTAAGACAGTCACAAACAGGATCAGTGAATTTTATATATGAAGTCAATTTAACATTGTGCATTCTTGCTATTTCAACACAAAGAGTGTGTGTAATTTCTTTAAAAACGGTATAACTAGTAGTTGCTTTTTTATCCACATAAAGAATGAACTCATCCTCATCCTCATTTTTTTGAAACAAATATTTGACTTCAATAGTTGCAATTGATGTATCATTAATAATAACTTTACTCCTTAAGTTATTAATGATTACTAACTTCACTGTATTAATGAAGTGCTCTACTAATGTTTCTGAGAATTTTGTTGCAACTAATTTATCGACCTGTACAGCATGATATCTATAATGTGCTACTATTGTTTTAGGCATAAATTCTTCTAAAGCTGGAGCAATGGATTTGAGCTTTGAAAAATGCAACTGAAGAGGTGAATTACTTTCTGTTGCTACATTATGATCAAGCAATTCTTCCCTGCAGATAAGAGAGAGGCCATGTGGTCTAACATTCTTTGGTAATTGCAAACACAAGATGTCACTTGGCACACTGCTGGGATCATAACTTGAAAATAATTTAAAAGTTTTGATTACTGAGTGCGTGGCTTGAGGTGGCAATTGAAATAAGGAAACAGGCACCTCAGAAAAATTGTATTTGTCAGTTTTATAGCGACTGGAGTCAAGAAATATAAGAGTAGTTGAGTCAACTAAAAAACCTTCATTGTTAGGATAATAGAGTGGTGAAATATCCTGGGCTTTAGTAGGTGACATTAACTCATTTATTAGCAGGCTATGCATTTTAATAACTGCTTCTCTAACAGTGATCTTATGATTTGGGTCAAGCCTTTTGTCACCAAGTTGCTGATGTATTGTATCAAGGAGATACCGAAGAGTCTTGATTTCAATATTATCAGCTATACCTAATGTTTTGAGGTATTGGCATCCAACCAAGAAATCAGGTACCGTATGAAGGTAAGGGAAGAGATGCGAGCAGTCATCAGGTATGTATCTTACTACTTGAATTGGCTTTACAAGCACTGGCTGATGTATAACTGTTGTATTAAGAGATTTCATTGCTGACACTGGGATACAGGGAATAGTACAAAGACTCTGTAGTTGCTCATGTGCCTTGTGCTCAAATAAATAATCAAAACATTGTTTAATTACAGTTTCTATGGTGACCCTCTTAATGTCTTTTGCCACATAGGTTAAATTATACTTGTGAAATAGGTCAAATTTTGCTAAGCCTGTCTGTGACACATTTATTAGATTTTTAAGAACATTTTTAGAATCAGGTCTAAGTGTAATACCCAAATATTCCAAAAGTGTATAATATTGTTGGGATGTACTAAAGTATGTGTACATGTATGATGGTACTGGTAGATTTACTACTGGCTTCACAGTCCAGATCAATGAGGCACTGTCATATATTACAGATTGATTAAGCATTGTTAGCCCTAGCTTTTGTTCTTCTAGGTACAATGGAGGTTGACATGACTTTTTTATCCATTCCAAATTACCAAGGCTAGCAACTTTGACAAATGGAATTTTAGCAATGTCTGACAATACATACTTGTCAGTATGCCATTCTTTTGCTGAGTCAGAAAATAAATATTCCACTAGTACACTAGATGCCTTCGAAACATTTTTGTGTTTTGCAGTAGAAACAATGGCAGCAAATGACTTAAATTCTTCTGTTGTAATAGTCACTCGAAGACCAAGGGCTTTTAAAAATTCCAGCCATTCATTTTTTTGATATTCCTCAGGAACAAATTGAAAATGCTCTCGAAAAGTTGTAAATATTGCCATGTTGTGATCAGAAAAATCTTTGATTGCTTGGAGATTACCATGACTTGTTTCAAGACAAGGCAATTTTTTTAATTTTTCAATAAAATTTATTGCTGGAGCTCTTCTACTAGCCTTTTTAAGCTGACTTTCATATTGAAGATCAGAAAACAAAGTGTCTTTAATGTGTTTAAGATGTTTCATTCTTTCATCTGATGTCAAAATTTGAAACACTGGAAAAATAAAACAAATATAAAGTTCACTCTCAGTAAGATGCTGACCACCTAATACTTCAATGTTACGATTACAAAGAAGTCCCCACTTTCCATTACTAGGAAGAAATACAACTTTATCAGAAGACGCCCACTTGCTATATCCAGCTTTGCAAGCTTCATTAGGCCAACAATAGACTTGCTTATTTTCAAGACTGGTTATGTCCCCATTGACTGTTTCAAAAAGAGGAAGCCTCTGAATATAATGAAGGCTAGCACTATCATGAGCAAAATTTATTCTGCCAAAGTATTGGAATAAACATTGAATAGTTTTCTGTGGAGCTTTTAAATTCAATAAAACTTTTTCTTTAGCGTGATGATGAAACAAAATTGCTAGGACTATGGATACATTAGAAACATCAACACAGTAGTCTCTAGCTAAGCATTCTCCAAAATCAGTAGAGTCAAACAGTGGGACATTTAAATCAGCCAATTCAAGAAATACACTCATGTATGTGGAATTAGTTGATCTAAGTAAAGGCAAAACTGGGGAACTAGCAGAGTAAAGTTTACCAGATACCGAAGGAATAATTGCCCAATTTTCAACAATGCATTGCCTATGCTGAGAAATATTTGGGTCATAACACAAACAGGACCACAATTCCATTAATCTTTCCTTCGCAATAATGCAATAATTTGTATTTTCTACTACTGAAGATTTCATAGATAATGAAAAGTTGCTAACCATCATTTCGTTAAGTACTTCAGAGGACAAATTTGAGATGAAGTAAGTTGATGACAGTTTTCCCACAGCTGTTATGATTCCTTCATGTAAAATCCATGAGGAAGAATTCTTAAAAAGCTGTGCATACTTGCTACATAACACCTTTGGTGGATTAGTAAATACCCGCAACTGTGAGTCAGCTGTAAGAAGAAGTGGAATGCCATCAGGAAAGCACGGGAACTCATACTGAATTTCGTGTCCTTTGAAGTTAACACTTAACAAGTAATTTAAAAAGAAGCATAAGTTATCCATTGTCTTAAAAGGTGATTGGTTTATTGGACAGGGACACTTGCCAATAATCTGAGTGTGAAACTTACTGTAGTAATCATACACTGAGCCACTTGATAAAACAGCAGGTTGTACTTCTTGTGACAGCAAATGTGAGCATAGAATAGGCGGGGCACAGGTGAGAATCATGCCTAGTTGCCTCAATACTTGTTTTACTTCTTTGCTTTCTTTTGATTTAAAATATGCTTGATTTTTAGGAATGTCACTTTGGAATTTATGCCACTGTGCAACCCATGACACTACTGGTTGGGATTTTGTCAGAGAAAAGTTATCTTTCTTCAATTCTGTTGCTAATAATTGTAAATTTCCTTGCCACATTAACTGAAAAACCATGCTACAAATATCTTTCCAATTTTTCTTTTTAGTAACTTCATGTCTTGGATTAGGTGACTGTGATACTACAGCAAACTGGCTAGTTCGGTATGGTATTTCAGACTTTTCTTCCTTTTTCTTAAAAATAAATGGTGGGTCAAAGAACGGAAACAGGCTGTAGTAATTGTTTATAGCATCTAATAATTCTAAACGAGTGCCATAACCATCATCATTTACATAGTAATGCTTAGCTCTTTCAAGGAAATGTACATAAGAAGAGGCAATTGCTTTAATTAAACTAGCATTCCATTTTGTTTTGGAGTCATGCTTATTGGTCGTGCTTGCCCAAAGAGAACGTCTATCACTATTAAGCACAAATTGACCATTGATATGTACTGGAAGTTCTGTGTAAACTGGTAGAGGTAGAAAACAGAAAACTTTTCCAAGGAAATTCTCAGTTCTTTTGTGAGTAGCAGCAATACCATGTTTAGGTAGAGTCTTGTCTAAATATTCCCAATGTTTATTTTGAGAATCTTGTACATCTCCAACTCCTTGCTGTATCAACCAATGCTCATGTGTGGATGACTTTAGTGATTTTGTTTCTAGTGTTAGAGGATATGTAACAAGAAAAGGTTTTTTAGTTTGTTTAAAAGCAGAAAATTGTTCTTTCAGACTAGCTCGCATCTCATGGATATTACCTTCCATATGAACGACATAGCTTTTTTCACACTTTAATGAACCAGAATTTTCAATGACATAATATTCAAATTGGACTATATGATTGAGGAAGAGAAGAGCATCTTTCATGGTGATCACCCATGATCTGAGATGCATTTCCATTATATCAGCAGTCAATGGTTCTGTTCTAACTGGATTATTCACTAACTCTGATTTCATTACCAGCTCCTTAGTACATCGAAGTGGAAAACGAAAAAGGACACCTTTATCCAAACCCTGTGGTTTATTTTGAAGCTCGTCTTGAAGAAAGCAAGAGCGCAGGTCAGAGATACTGTTCCAAAAACTATCATCAACATTATAACGTCTTCCAGGGCAAAGCTTATCAGCTCCATGAACATATCTACAGTGTGGATCAAACACACACAGTGTGTCTCCCCTTGTTATGAAACTAGGACAGTCAGTTACATGATAGACCACATTAAAACCAATGCCAAACTGACCAATTGACTCTTCATCATCACGCTTAGAACCAAGACCAAGCTTTTGAATTCCATCTAAATCTTTTTCAGTGAACTCTTTATCATTCCATACAAGTAATGCAGGTCCTTGTAGTTCTGCCCAATTCTCTGAAGGCAATCTCTCTTTCCTGTGTTCTCTCTTATCAAGTATTACATACATTTTACTAGCCTTGGCATCATCAGCATTCTGAAGGAGTTCTTTGAGGAATGTAACATCAAGTGGATAATCTCGAAGAATATTCTTAATTCTCTGGGTGAGTTCTTCGCGTTGGCCAAATTCTATTCCACTAAATTTTTGCTTAGTAGAAGTGTATTTCTCAAGAAATTTACTACTTGTTGGTTGTACTCCAAGAGCCAGTGCTACTTCCCTGATGAGAAGTGATATCACATAGTTACTGTCATTATCAGGAGGCAAAAAAACTGCATCATTGAAAACTAGTTGATTTGTTGGTCTAAGAATATAATTGGCATCAACAAGAATAGCCTCTTTCTTCATGGGAGATAGTTCCTGAAAATCTTTTGCATTCAAATCTTGGATAATGTTTTTAGCAGTTTCATGGTATTCTTGTGGAAGCTTGTGTGTAGGGCTAAAACGTGAATACATTTGAGAGAATGTTCCCAGTAGTTTTTCAACACTAAAACTCTCCTTCACCTGCAAACAATTTACCAAGTTTCTGTGCTGCGATAACATGCCAGGAAGTCGATATAGACATGGGCCCACCAGTTGCTTCCAATTAATTGATACGTCACAAGGGCAAACGAAGCCTTTCCCAGTCCATATAAATGGTTTGTTATAATATTGGGCTAAAATTGTTTTATGCTGATTATCATCTTGATTCTGATGTTTACTTAGTTTTCGTGATATTCTAGGTGACTCTTTCAATGAGGCTTCAAAATGCTCATAAACATTTTGACATATTTCTTCAATTAATTGTATTGCTTCGTGATCATCACACATTGATATGTTAAATGTATTAATCAATGTGACAAATTGATTATGTACTTCATCAAATGAAGCTTGTGATGGTATATTCATTAACTTCAATGCTTGATGAGAAATGGAATCGCACCCTCCTGAAACAGTAATCTTGGTATTAACTATTGCTTTTTGAGAACCAATTAAAATACCAGTTTTTCTCAAGCTGCGACTATCAACTGATATTACCTGACAAGGTGGTAATAAAACATGACCTTCACCTTTCCATGGTAAAACATATTTTTCAGGTTTATGAAGGACAGGTAGAAAGTGAGTTTGACATAGCTCAAGAGGTGCTGGATCAATTTGCTCTTGTTCTCGACGTGCATGTTCTGCCTTTTCTTCAATGCAGCCAATGATAACTTTAACTCTTATTAATGCTTTTATCTTATCTTTCACAAATAATGACTCCACTGTTTTAGCACTTTTGATGATAACATCCCAACATACATTATAAGGTGACATCAAACCAAGTCTAAAAATCCCTTCCCTTACTGCAGCAGATTGGTAAAGAATCTTTTCAGGAAACATGGCGTCTTCAGGATCAAACATGTCACGGAACTCATTTGAATCCACAAGTTCAGATGCTCGTTTTAATTGAAATCCTTTAGGGGAAGTAGGTATGCAGGGATGCTTATGAAGTAGACTTTTTAGCAACTTGTGTTCTTTAGAGGTGATTGTCGAACCAATAGCTGATAGCATCATTGAAAGAATTTCATTCCTGGTCTTAATGCTATTGGAAAATGAATCTATATTTTGTAGAAATAATTGTGCAAATTTGTCTTCAGTTAAAATATTAACTCTTATAAATTTTTGTAGTTGGCTACTATGGAAAAGAGGTAAGAACACTATTGGTAACTTCATTATTTTCACTGCTTCAATGATATCAGTAGAACTACTACATACAACTTTAAATAACGTAGAAGGAAGAAAATAAGACTGGGTTATTTCTAACCATTGACAAAAAGAAGACGAAAAAAATAAGTCTTCTTGAGATATCAAATGATATAATGAAGATACTAAACTTTCCCATGGAAACTTCATCTGAAGGTTGGAAGCCAGTGGCCACAGCATGTGAAACTCATAAGATAAAAGTCTTCTTAAGCAGTGCATTGCTTGCAAACTTTTTAACAATTTGCAATATGCTTCAGGTATGACTGTTGTCATTAGTTGCTGATTCCAGTATTCCCTTTCATCTGAAGCCATTGCAGATGATGCTCCTGTCCATATGCCACTTCTATTACTCATAACAGCAAAGTTAGCAGTAACATGCACCGGTAAGCCAGTAGCAGGAACTGATAATGGTAGAAAGCAAAATGCATTCCCTTCTATTGCTTCACACAAAAATGAAGATTGTTTCTTAACTAACTTGCAAGCTACAGATGCAACTGCTTGCCTATAGGCACCATCTTGTGATTTCAACCGTTGCTCTTGATTTGATAGGAGCCAATACTCTGTAGATTTAGTACTTGATTGTGTAACACATACTTTGACATTCTCAGTGTCAACATTACTGCACTCAATAGACAGATGTTCAACAATCGGCCTACCTTCTTGTCGTGAGCTAAACGTGATGCGCTTAACATTCTGTAAGAAAAGCAATAATTTAGAACCATTTGACTCTAAATCCTTTTTAATCATTTGAACAAGATGATTATTGTAGATAGTGGAAGAAATCTGACTAGGATGTGTTCTAAATGGTAGCCTAAATATGGTACCATTGTAAGATGATGAAGAATCAAAACCAAACAAGCCCTGGTATGGAGCTAATTGCTGTGATTTGGCAAGGAACTTTGATCGAAACTTAATTTTTTTGCCAGGCCTGCTCTCATTTTGCACTACACCTTTTAAATGTTTTAACGTAGGATCAAATATGTATAGCCATTCTCCACTAACAAAAGAAGGTACATCAGTGATGTGGTACACAGAACAAAATCCAACTCCAAATTTTCCAATCTTAAGTGGTTGGTTAGCTTTTGTAGCACCAGCAAGTTTTGTGATGTTTTCAAAGTCCTCTTTTGTGAATGTGCTGTTATTGTGGACTATCAATGCTGGCCCATGGCTCTCTGCCATTCCTTCTAACACTAGATTGTGGCTTGAATGTGTGCGGGTATCATGTAAAATATTAACTTCAGTTGCCCCAGCATCATCAGCATTTTGTATCATCTCCTTTATGATAGTTAAGCCATCTTTATATTCTCTCAATATATTGCTGAGTCGTGTTGTTAGCGGTTCATGCTGACCAGCATCTTCAAAGACATCTTCGGTAATATCAAGCTGATCACTGAGTGGGGAAAGGCCCAGCTTAGGAGACAGGTAAGACACTTTAGGATGTATAAGATTATACTTTTCATCTGACGTTCGTGCAATGCCACGTAACATTTCATTATCAGTGTAAGATACATCATCAATAGGAATTAACTGAGGATATGATAAATCACTTTCGACTGGTACTAGAATATCAGCTTTACTCATTGTACTAGTGTTATCTGCTATCCAGTCCAATACAGCTCTAACTTTTGACCATGCTTCATCTTCTCTGAGCTGAGAACTGTCCCTGACAGATTGAAGAACAGAAAGAATCTGCTCAGTTGTTACATTGTGGGGAATACCAAATCTTGAAAAAAGTGAAGAAAATGCTCTCAAATTTGGAGGTAAGACAAAAATGAAAGGTTCTAAATTTAA